TTTGTTCTGCTCTCTCACATCAAGCAGAACAATCAAGCAGAACAGCAAGAAAAAAATTGCAAGAGTAAATTGTGAAGAGTAAAAAGCATGCAGCCTAAGTTCCTACAGGAGACAGATATAGATCATTAAACTCAGGAATAGTTTTCTAGTAAGAAATACTTACAAGTATTTGTATAACAAGACTTGAAAGAAAAAAGATAGGGACCAACAACAGCAAATTTATATCTCTGTCCTAAGGGAGCCTCTCAAGATTTTTTTTGCAGAGCTTTACACAATTTAATTCTTATTTATCAAAGTTCAGATTGCTTAACATATAGCATGGAAGCAATTAACATAGACAACTGAAATAGAAAATTAATAAATTCCAGTTAAGAAAGTATACTGTATCTTTAACATCTATTCTGGAATATGCATGTGCATGGAATATATGGAATGGAAGCTGTTTTTAATTTGGTTCTACAGATGTCCTGTGGAATCACACTGTCACCCTTCTCTTCCCAGCACGACCACCCTCAGGAAACTTACATTTGTGAAGCAACCTTAGTGTCGGGTAAAAAATCCCTTCTCTTTGCCTGAAGAACAGCAACTCCCCATTCACAGTGAGGATTTCTATATGTTCATGACTGCAAGATTAAAAAAAAATGCAAGAGCTACTTAACCCTTCTATACTTCAAATACAGTATTTTACTTAATCTATCTTAGCACCTGAGAATAAAGACAGTCAATTAGTAACAAAATTTAAAACTAAAAATATTATCTTTTTGTACGACTTGTTCCTGAGCAGTGGTCTCCTGTTCACTTCTTCCCCCTTTGAGAAAAAAGAAACTTACTAACAAAATACACAAACTGAATTTCCTTGGTGTTGCTTTTTAAATGCAATACAAAGAGTGAATAACAAGGGCTCAGAAAAAATGTACTAGCCTCTATTTTTAAAAAAGGGAAAATAATCAAGATAATACATGGAAGCCCAAAACTAGTACAAAATGTAACTGTCAGGAATCCAAACAATTTTGAGCTTCCATGTGCATAAAGCTGAATGCTTCCCTTCAGCTACAGGCTGATCCTTGGAGAGACCCTGCACATTGGCTACTAGGAAGCATTTTTAAATTCCTCAAGCATCCTACTAGCATGTGCCTTTAAAGCACAATGAGGACATGCCACCTTTCTAGTTTGGCCATAACACGGACTACTAGCTATTAAGAGATGATGCATGCCTACCAAAAGTGCTAGGTTTATCTACTGTACAAAGAAAATATACAAAAGAAGCATCCTAGCACCTTGAAAGCAAAGTTTAAGAAAAGAAATACTTACCATCTTACTATTTTGACTGGATCTTTCTTTGGCATAATTTGGTTTAGCCATGGTTCAATAACAGGAAATTGGTCTATCAGTTGATTCTTGATACCTTTAATAACTGAAGTCTTCAGCTGGATACAGTTTGATACATTCTCCTTTTCATCAAATCTGTCAAGCGAAAATATTTTAGAAATGCACAATTTGCTGCACAAAAGATGCATTTTTCAGCAGCTGTCTTCAGAAATGTTTATAAATTCACTATGAAAGTCTAAGAGCAGACTGACTGTCCAACTTTCAAACGCAGGATTTCATGAAGCTTTAATCTGTCCCCTGGGAACATTCAGGCTGGGGGAAGGTAGGGGGGTCCCCCCTTAGTAGCCTGTCTTCACCCCTAAACTTTTTGTACGGCCACAGCACGTGTTTATTCTCACAGAAAAACCCTGGCCCACAGCGCTGTTTTATTCAGCTCCAACAGTACCGTGCCGGTAACACAAACACCCACAGCCCTGCTCCCATGCGAATCCCTCACGTCCACCACAGAAACACGAACGGCGCTCTCTACCACCGAAGTTGGGATAAGTTCATGACTCAGCGAGTGCCCAGGGCAAAGCCGAGGGCCGCGGGGCCGCTCCCGCCAGCGCAGCGCCGAGCCCGGGGCTGAGGGGCGCCGGGCCCGCCCGGTCCGGTCCCTTCCCTTCCTTCCCTTCCCTTCCCCCGCGCCTCCCACAACCCCAGCCCGGCCGCACTCACTTCTTGAACATCCTGCGGGCGGGGGGCTCCGGGCGGGCAGGCCGGGGCCGGCGGCGGGCGGGCAGCCACAGCCTCGGCGCTGCTCACACGCGGCTCCGGCCGGGCCGTCCCTCCCTCCGCGGCCGCCGGAAGCGCCTCGCCTCGGCGGTGTTACTGGCCTCTCACAGCGCCACGGGGCCTGGTCCTTACAGGCGCGGCGCTGTTCTCCCAGCTAATAGACCGCTTTAAGGTAAAACAAGAAGAGCAAAGTGCTAATAGCTACTGACATCATTTAAGCACAAAATACGTTTAACTGGAAAAAACACAGCCGTCCTTAAACTAGCAGAGCAGAAGCTATCATCATGTCAGTTTCAGGAAAGGACAGAAGATACATAAGATACAAGATATCAGCAGCATTCTGGGGGAAATAATTGAGTTGTTGTCGAACAGCAGGTACTGGAGCCGCGCAGGGAATCAGCCCAGGTGACAGTGCCACATCTTCAGCGTGCAGAGGGAGCAGAAGCCTGGCTTGCAAAGATCTCGGCTGCCAGGCAGACAGATGGATTCTGGTGGAGAGAGCCATCCATAGTGTTTACTAGAATCAAATTAGGTTTGCCATCACGATGCAGCAATTGTGAATAGAAAACCATAGGCAGACAGAATTCACCACACTGCTTTTTCACTCTTTGAGGAGCAGACCTGTGTCTGTTCTTTAGGCTGGTGGCTGCTATATAAACAGACACACAGGTGATCACCCAGTTTCTTTTTAGAGTCATGAAAATGCTACCACTGGCAAAAAGGGGAGGGAAGAGAGGACATAAAACACCAGGTTACCATTATGCTAACAACCAAGTTCTTTTTTCCATACAAAACAATTTAATCACCTTTGATACTATAACACGTAATTGAAATCTAATACTTAAAAGTTATATCACCCAAACAAAGTAAAATGAAGCTTTATACATGGTATCATTCAAATAGTGCAGTACAGCTTTGGGAACAAACACACTAATAACTTTTTTAAAGGATGGGAATTAACTATAGCATTACATAAATAGTCAAGCATTTCACTCATGAATGACACCTTCATCTACTTTGTAGCATCACTAAAAATACTGACTGATAACCAATAATTCAATTTTAACTGAAACACAGTGACACTGCTCATCCCCAGGATTAGAAAATGAGAATGGGAGTTAATCACACCAGCAAACTATTCCATATGTTCTGGTGCTCCTCAGAAAAACTTTCATCAAATAATACTTTGCCATACAAACAACCACATTTTTTAAAACTGTAATGAAAAAAATCATCATATTCTACCTCAAATGATAGAGACACAAGGTAAACTTCTATCCTTCTTGAGAAAGACGGCGCCTCTCACTGAACTCACCTGAGCCACTTTTTTCACGCCTGCCTAAAACAGCAAGATTAGGCCCAAATTTTCAAAAATTGCCTTTATCAAGAGGAAGGTCTTACCTCTGCACTTCTACTACTGTTCAGCCTTAACACGAAAAAGCTGGAGACATCTGCTCTGGTTGCAGGGTCACTTTTAAGTACCAAAATTTTAAAAGCATAGTACCCGGACAAGATTGACAAAGCAAGGGGAACATCCAGCAACTGCCCTGACAGAAACCACCCCTCAGGATCCCATGCTAAATAGGAAGGACTTAGGATTTTACCCCCAAAAGTTTTGGTAGAAAAGGGGGAAAATCCATCATACCTGGCTTCTTCCTGGATCCCCAGAACTTTACCTTGCCTCCACCTGCTCTCTCATATCCAAAAGCTGAATATTCTAACTGATGGGACAAAGTCATTGATTGTCCCACCCCTGAATGATTGCACAGACAGCAACTTCAGGAAAAGGGGCTCTTACTCCTGTCTTTTTTATAAATCCAATCCTTTCAATGAACAAAGAATGTGTAGAAATTTGGCATGTCTTACGTCTCTAGACCTCTTATCTAATTTCACTTAAGTGAACATGACAGTTACTGGAGAACAGAGGAAAACTTTATGGCATACTCACCCAAGTTTTATTTACTTAGCAAACCTGTTTATTTCTGTTACATCTGACTTGGAATGTAATTTAGTAGCCTTGGAACCATACAACCAGGTCTAAAGGCAGTCAAAACCAGACTGAAGCTTTGTTTTGCTGGGGTTTTTTCAGCTGGAAAATGTACTTTTCTACACATCACAAGCATGACATTCCAGGCCTTAGGAGTTGTCTGATAGTGACTCAGTCATAAAACACACTCCCGAAGAGCCTCAGCAACATTACATTCCTATCTCTATGTGCCAGTTTCTGTCAAGACAAGTTAGCCCATCTTTTCTTAACCAACATAAAAGTGCCACCAGACTTCCCCTGAGGAGCTCTGCTGTCTGCTGTACGAGATGTATGCTCTCAGCTGAAGTCCATGGAGAATCTCCTGGAACAAAACCTCATCACTTCGTTACTTTTTCCACAGCCATTGGTCAACAGTGTTTGAATGCTAACAGTGTTCCTCGGGAGGTTACAGTCCCTTTGGTAACACATCCACCAACATAAAAAAAGAGACTCTAAAGGCCTACAACTTTTGTTCTTGTTTCCAAAAGTTACAAAACGAAGAAACAAAACAAAAGCAAACCATAGGCTGTAGCCCAGTGCAAGTCCGTATGTATTAAAATCATATCAAAAAGCTGGCGCTAAATTATTGTTTCCAAGTAAGTGCAAGAAAAACCACTTCCAAACCAACAGGCCTCGGCCTAGGCCGCAGGCTGCGGGGGAAGGAGCTCCCGCGAACGCCGCCGTGCACCGCACGGAGCGCGGCCGGAGCCTGCGGCGGGACGGGCTGGGTGAGGCGGTACGGGACCCCGGTACGGAACTCCCCGGGCCCGCAGTCCCGCCCAGCGGGCGGCCCCACGCCGGCGCGGGGGGCACCGAGCCGCGATCAGTTCCGGCGGGGCCGAGGGCGGGTCCCGGGGAGGATCCCGGGGCGGTCCCACCGCTTCCCGGCCGCGCTTCCGTGCGCCGCGCCCCGTCATGCACGGCGGGCGGATGCGCCGCCATTTTTGCGCTCCCTCTGCCGTGCAGTGACAATAACAACCCGGCCGGGCCGTCCCCCCTCAGGGAGCGCGGGCACAGGCGGAGAGGGGGGAGCGGGGCCCGAGCGGAGCGGCCGCGGGGCGGAGCGGGAGGCGTGTGGGGCGAGGGGCTGGAGCCGAGGCGAGAGAGAGCCGCGCTCAGCCCTCCCCGCTGCTGCTCGGCGGAGACGAGGCGGCCGGAGCAGGAGGGGAGCGCAAGGAGAAGCCGGGGGAGCGGGCAGCCGTGGGGAATTCTGCGGCTGGAGAGGAGAATTGAGAGGAATTGGTGAGCGGCGAGAGGCAGGAACGGAAACGCTCCGCTGGGAAAGGAGTAAAAGCAGAAAGGCAGCGACAAACTACGAGAAGAGCCAAAGTAATAAAGAAAAGGGGAAGAGGAGATAAAGTGATTCCTCCGATAAAGAAGAACGCGAGGAGAAGGAATACGGAAGGACTCTGCTGATGAGAAGGAGGAGTTGAAAGACACCCCCCCAGAGACAGCAAACTCTAAAACTCTCCCCCTCTCTTTGTCACACCACAAGGATTTGATGCCCCTCAGCCTGTTCACTTCTGTGTGTTCATGTTTCCCACAGGTTTCTCTTCCCCCAACCCCCCAGCTGCAGCCCAGGAGGTCAGACCTGCCACTGATGGTAACACTAGCAGCAGCTCCTCCTGCAAGAAGAGAAAGTTAAATAACAGCAGCAACAGTAATTCCGAAAAAGAAGAATTTGATTCCATTTCCTCCTGCACCTCTTCTCCTTCCAAAAACACCTCCTCATCATCTTCCTCTGTCATCACTGCTTCTTCGTGCTCCTCCTCAGGGGTTGCTTCCTCCAACCATCACCTCCAGAAGAAGCTGCGCTTTGAGGACTCCGTGGATTTTATTGGACTCGATGTGAAGATGGCTGAAGAGTCTTCTTCCTCCTCCTCTCCTGCTGCCTCTTCTCAGCAGCAGCACCAGCAACAGCTTAAAAATAAAAGCCTTTTAATTTCGTCAGTGGCTGTGGGGCATCATGCAAATGGCCTGACCAAAGCTGCCTCCTCTACTGTTTCCAGTTTCGCCAACAGTAAACCTGGCTCTGCCAAGAAATTAGTGATCAAGAACTTTAAAGGTAACCGGCCATAATTTGTCACAACCTGTGGGGAGCTGACAGTCAACTTTGTGTTTTGTTTTCAGCCTGCAAACCGGTTCCTTTCAAATAGCCCCAGGTTTTATGGGAATTGCTTTTCTGTGGTGAACATTTCTATACTTATGTAAAGGGGAGTCATGATTTCTGATGTGTGCTTGCCTGGTCATGTACACATCCTGGGCTACACTTTGCTGCTTGGAATTGTTTTTCAGACTCCCTTCACTCTGTCTCTTGAGAAGGCCTTAATTTGTATGTTAGTTGTAAGGTTTTACTACCTAAGTGTGTAAATTGCCTTTGTTTAAACTTCTAACATTTGAGACTTCTTTTCTAGTAATCCTGATTCAGAGTTTAGTGTATATTTTAGCCCAGTTTATGATAAGTCTTTGCATAGAACGTGGGTTTTTTTTTAATTGGCCTTGAATCTGCATGTCTTGTCTCTATCCCTGTTGTCTGTTTATAGGATAATCTGCCTGTGCTTAGTTTTAAATGTTGAAACTAAGGTGATTATCGGGCTATTGTGGTGGATTTCCTTTCTGGTTTCCCCACTTGCCTTTGAAGTAGGTAGTTCAGATTTTTGCAGTTTTTTCCTTGTAATGTCCTCACTATAATTTTTAATTGTAGTATCTTTTCTCTGTCTTAGCTTACTCTTACTTTACAAGTTTACATTATTTTATAAATTCTCTCCAAACATGTGTTTGAGATTTTTGAGTAATGTTACTAGAGACCAAGGTAGAGAAATTAAACTTTTCTGATGTGATGCTGCTTCATTTTCTAGTGAACAAAAATACAAATAGGTAGGCAGAAAGCTTAGCTAAAATGCTGCCATTTTTTTCCCTATGAAGATGAGGCTATCATGGGCTTTTTTTATTTCCTGCTTCTTGCTGTCTTCCACAATAGTCCACTACCTTGCTTTCCTGGGTTGTTTCTTTCCCCTCATATGTTTTGGTTTGTGGAGGAGTAAAAGATATTACCAAAACTAATTTTAAATTTCTAAATACACAATTGACACAAATGTTCTGTAGACACATTGCATTAGGTAAGGATTAGGACCCACTGTAATGTTTGCAAGAATTCATGATCACACTGTAACTCTTTGCTTTAAGGTTCCAGTTCTCAAAAATGCCCATCAAAGCATCATCATTTAATTTGACTGATTATTTTAAAATTCAGACTTGTGATGCTGCTCTTCAGTTGCTTGTGCACTTTTATCTTTAAGGGAAGTTAATTCTCACCTTTAAAATACCTGTTAAATGTCATGGATTGCATGTGCTGTGATCATTACTGCTTATGAATTGGTATTAGAACCTTGCTTAAAAAGGATGTCTTGGTATTCTGACAGCCTTGTCTTTTATTTACTCTCAGATGCTAAACTGAATAGCAATCTTAAGGTTTTTGTCTGTATCTTAGTGTGATAGCAATAACATCCTTCACAAGTTCAATAACTTTCTAAAATCCATAACCTTGGTGTTGGCTGCTGAGCAGCAGTCAGGAGTTGCTGGTGAAAACAGGCAAGTCACTTGTCTCTAGATCCAGATCAGGCAGCTAGTGTTGGGATATTGCCAGTATTGTAGGGAAATGCTTGGAAGAACAAAATAATTACTGCTCTGTTAGTTGTTTCTAAGGAAATCATAAAGATTTAAAATTTGGTTTTTACTTTTAGGTGTGTAAAAGTCAATTCTAATAGAGTATAAACTCGGGGCCAGTTTCACCTGTTGGTAGCATGAATGTGCATGTGTCATCTTCCTCCTCAGATTTTCTTGTTCTGTCTTCTCCATTTGGGAATCTGCTTATTAGAACAAAAATGGTCACTCTAGGTAGTTACAAAAATATAAAACTTTTAAATAGTTCCTATATGCTGAGGATGTGACTTGGGGAGTATCTTAGCATGTTGCAAATGCTGTGGTCTTGCTGAAGGTGCTGCAGAGCAGGGTCATCTCTAGAAAAGAACCAGAAAAAATAATGGAGAGGGTCAGATCTGGAGCTTTTGAACATTAAAAGAGGCTTATCTCTAAAAAATATCCACTTTCCAAACCCAAGAGAGACATAAATGGATTCCTTTAAAATGGGAAGGTTTTTCTTAGGACCATAAAGCCTGTACAATAATTCCAGTGTTTCCATGAGTGTCTCTTGAGGAGTTCTTTCCAACTGTTATTGCAGAGTAAAATTAATGAGCAGTAAATTAAAAACTGAGATACACACAACTGTGTATCTTTTAATGCATCATTTTTGCCTTTTGTGTTCCTTTCTTTTGGCTCTGCCTTCCTGGTAATGAGAGTATAAGGAAGGTATGATAATTCTTGCTGCTTTTAGCCCTTCTTGAGCTGCTGTGGCACAGGACTGTGATTTTTGTAAACCACAGGTACTCTTTGGGCTACCTGTGGTGTGTATATGGAGAGCAATGCTGAATTTCTTCAGTATGTTACTCTTTCAAATGTGAATAAGGCACTACTTTTACACAAATGCTTTCTTTCCATGTAAGTATAAATTAAAAGCTGGACCATCAGCCCATACATCTTTCCCCTCAAAGCTACATCCTTTTCATTTCTGTAAAAGGTTTTGCTTTATCTAAATATGTTCTCAAACTTTATATTTTTTATTTTAAAGATAAACCCAAATTGCCTGAAAACTACACAGATGAAACCTGGCAAAAACTGAAAGAAGCTGTAGAAGCTATCCAGAACAGTACTTCAATTAAATACAATTTAGAAGAGCTCTATCAGGTAAGTGCATTAAGTAAAAGTAATGGGTTAGGGCTTTTCTGTTTTGTTCTCAGATTTCTTTGCTTAAAACACTTGATATGGTGGTAAGAATATGGCATTTTGCTTGATAGCTGCTTTTGTCATTGAAAAACTTGTCATCAAATAGTTTCTTCATTTTACAATTGTGAGTTAGAATTTCACAAGACTTAGCATCGAACTTATGTATTTTTTTTACTTGCCAGAACAAAGCCCAAGGTATGGGTTCCCTTGCAGCAGTTGATGAGAATTAACTAAGGCAAGGAGCTGTATTGCCTTTTCTGTTTAGGGAGTTGTGTGATGTTTATCTGCTAAAGGAGAATGGTGAAATCCTCAAACACTGGTGTTTAAGAATAAGGTGATTTACATTAAAATGTAATTTCTTCTCTGAAGAAAGTATCTGTTCACGATCAAGTATCACAAATCACTTAAAAACTGAAACTTTCTGTTGACTTCTAGTAGGTAAATAGAACACCATTTTTCCTTCATGAATTGTATTATTTTGGTTTGATTGTAATTTTCAGGCATTGCAGCATTCTTTTTATTCTAGCAATTGAGAATCCAACTTTATTGCCAGCAACAGCTCTGATTGTGTTTTCTTAAATACTTTAGGAAGTGATCAGATTGAACTGCATTTCCTAATGTTTTTTTTTAATAAGCTCCACTTCTGCTTTTTCAGCTGAGTGTGCTGGGGAGATTTCCCCCACTTACCTTTTCCCTACTAATGTCACTTGCAGTTTTAGCAGCATAGCAATGGTGCTGCTTTAGCTGGGTATTAGGAAGCACTTTAACTTTTTACTCTACTTCTAAAGCCTTTATTACCTGGTTAGTTGTTTAATTTGTTCCTCTGTGTGTGTATATAGCCTTCTCACCATGACTTTTTAGTGTCTCTTCTTCCCCCGCCCTCCCCTTTTCAATAAAAGCTGCAGTTTGTATATGAGGAAAAAATCCTGTACAAGGCTTGGGGACAGATTTAAGGAAGAATTAATTGCTGTGCCTCAGTCCACAGCATTCTTACGATCACTATAGACTTTTGTAATGTTCAATTAATTAACTAAAAATACTGCTTTTTTAACAATTTGTCAGAATAATAGACAGTATTGTCATTTTTGCACAACTTGGTGGAAGTGATAGCAAATTACAACCAATCGTACTGGGTGGTATTGTAAATTACTTACTCTAGACTGAATAACTGTGCAAATAACTGTTAAGTGCTTAAAGGCTATCCAAAATTGTTTAAAAATACAGAGTTCTGTTGAAATACTTGCTTCTGTTTAACAGAGTTGCTTAAATTTTTGCTCAATCTTACCACAAGCTTAATTTAATATTGCTTGTAATCAAAAAACAAAAATAAGCTGTTTTGTTTTAAATCACAGTGTTTCAACATTGTTATTACTTAGATATTTCTCAGTGAAATAGAGTGCAATGAAGTATGTTTTTTTTTTAATATAGATCTAAAAATAAATGTCTTGATTTAAAAATAGTAAGAGGAATCACTAGTGTTTTTAGATGCTAACTAAACTAATGTCATTTCTGAACAGCTGCTTGGTAAAAGGATCTGATCCCAAATATGCCTTGGCAGACACCATTATCCAACAGAGAGGGGAATTATAAAAGAGTCTGCAGAAGTTCTGCTGCACACCTCAAAAGAGGATAATTCTTTTTTTTAATGGAGTTAAACTTCTTGCTTTTGGTTTAACTCTTGTCTGTGCTAGAAAAACCCACTGGATAAACATTTTGAAGCTTTATTTGTTTGCAGGGCCCAAGCTTCATACTTGCTTTGTTCTTCCTCAGCAAACAAAATTATTCCCACCCTTGAGTAGCTGAAGTGTTACAGAATTGAATGCTTCTTTCATAGAATAATTTTCCTTATATTAGTACCTGAAAGTAGAGATCTAGATCTTTGGTACCTGGTGCAGAGCTATTTTTTTTAAATCAATCAGATTTAAGTACTTCAGGAAGGTTGTGATTTTCTCTCATCAGAGTTGTGTTCAGTTCTTTTTCCTTACTACACAAACCCAGGTGTGGATGCTGCAGTTAAAAGGCAAAAAAAAACAAAGAGAAAACCAGAAAACCACATCTAACTGCATATGTGTTACACAAAGGAAGTGGGACTCTTCATATTTTCTCACCGTCATTAGGGCACAGATGCCCTAAACAGAAACGTTTTTTCCACTAATTCAAAACAAGATAATTTTGTGAACTAGAGGCCCTAACATGTATTAATACATGTTGATACATTTTAGATACAATCAGTATTGTCTAGTAATTAAGCAAAGCATAATATTGCAGTAGGGAGTTAATGTCTTAAAAATTAAAGCATGTCTGTGTGTGTCATCAACAAAGATGCAGAAGTTTTGTACTTTGTTCAAACACCCAATCCTAGCAGACATGTTTAACACTTTGGAATTTCTGACAGACAAATGTAAATGCTCAGCTCTGTATGAACACTCCATAAAAGTAGGTGTATGTTAATACATGCTTATTTCACTATTTATTATTGCATGCATTTGTCCATCTACAGTGCAGAAGCTAATTCTTTTAAATGTTACATGCTTATTTCACTAGGAGTTAATTGCATGCATTTGTCCATCTACAGTGCAGAAGCTAATTCTTTTAAGGATTTAGAGCAGCAGTACTTGTTTGATAGGCAGCAGTTATAACAGTGGTGAGATGAGGTGACCAGAAGTCCAGGACAGAGGCTGCTGGTGTCCTGACTTGGTGGGTTGAAGCCAGAGTAACTGTGGTTCTGCAGCTGACAGGCAAGTTCCATCCAAAACATTCACCTTCCCAGCTCTCAGTTGGCTTCTCCAAAGTGGAAGAAATTAAGAAACCTAGGAAGATTGCACTTGCTGAAGTTCTAATCAGGCTCTTCAGGCTCAGTGTTTTCCATCCCCTCATTCTACTGAATCAAGTATCAGGTTATATCCTGGTTTCTTACTTGCTGCTGAACCTGATTTTTACCATAGCAGAATAGAGTTGAGCAATGCTCATAAACTGCTCTGAGCAGTGAGCTACAGAACACATTTTCCTATCACTTTATTCTGTGTTTGGTGTTTCTTAAGTGTTGAGGCTAGAGTCAAACCTGTTGCTATTTCCAAATATTATGATTTGTATACTTGGGTGATAATTTTGGCTTTCCTTACAGTCTTCATTCAGACCTGTTTTGGTTAATTGGCACATTCACTCTCTTGCTATACCTGTTTACTTCTGACACTAAGCTCATGCAGGTTTGGGGAGTTTTGTGGTTATTGTGTGGGATGGTTTTGCTGTGGGGTTTTGGTTTTCATGGAGGTTTGGTTTGTGTTTAGTTGGGGTTTTTTTAACTCCTCCGTGTGCTAGAGCCAGTGTTAGATGTAGTGGTGACTGCTTGCTTTGTGCTTCCATTTGGACAGTTGGGAAATATTCTGGGGTAATGGTATAGGTCTGCTCTGTGCACTTCTGAGCTGTGCAGTCTCTCCATGGTTGCCTGCAGGTGCTGGGGAACAAACTTTATCTTCCAGTCCTTTTTTTTTTCCCAACGAAGTCTTTTCCAATAAGTAAATAATAGCACAAAGCATTAATTGAAAATCAAATATGCTTCTCCTCTAGCTTCTACAGGTGTTTTACAGAGTAATCACTTACTGTGTCTTTCACCAGCCTGCAAAGAATTAAAGTTGCTTAGTTGCTTTCGAATTCTGGGCAATGGGTTTGAATTTTAGAAGTCTTGAGATATACACTAATGAACTTAAGAATGATTGTTTGCTTGATCAGTCTCCAGGATATGGCCCCATTAAACTTCTTTTCACTTCTTACTGAGCACAGTGGTAATTCTTCTAATACTTGATGAGATCTAGAAATCTGGGATTGTCACTGTAAATGCAGTCATGCTACTAATATTCAGGATTATAATTAAACTTATTCAGGCAGGGAGTTGGTGGATGGATAGATAAGATAGATAACATATGTATACATATGTACTTTTGGGGGTGAGGGAAGCTTAATCAAGGAAAGGACTGCAAAAGGAAATAAATCTGGCAGTGCTTTTCCACTAATATCAGTGGGACTTGCAGAGCACAGCAGTTAATAAAATTAATACCTTAAGTGACTGCTTTGAGGTATGAAGCCCAGCAAGCTACTGGAAGATATTAAAGCACCATCCTTGTTTTTAGAGCTGCCAGTCCTGCAGTTCCATGTGAGAGACTGACAGTCAGCTAAATTGATGGTGTGTGAGCTGTTGAGGGCACTGCCTTTATCTCCTGTTAGCAGTGCAGTGCCATGTCTGTCTCTGGTGTTTTGCATGCAGCAGTTAGCTCTGTTAAAAGCTGTGAGAAGCAGAATTCTTGTCTGGGGAGGGACGTCCTCCTTTCTTGTAAAACTACATGTAAGAATATAGCAAGATTTGTTTGTTTCTCTTTCTCTTTACTTCAGGCTGTTGAAAATCTCTGCTCCTACAAGATCTCTGCAAATTTGTACAAACAATTGAGGCAGATCTGTGAAGACCACATTAAAGCACAAATTCACCAATTCAGAGAATATCCTTTTCTTAGCTGTTGACAAGCCAAAATTGTTTTACTGCAAGTATATAGTGATGGATTTCTTTGACTAGTTCATTACATTAGGCCGTGGTAATTTGAATTCCTAGGTTTTGTGTAATTGGTTTTTCTTTTATTTCTTTGTGGGACCTAGGAGAACACTACTTGTTCCTTTATGCCTGTAACCATTAAAAAGTTTCTGAGAAAGATTCACTGGTATTTCTGAAACACTGACAACTTACAGAAATTTGTGTTAGATCTGTAGCAAGGTTTAAAAAGCAGTTATTTGCTGTATTATGTCAGTGTTTTTTATATCAAACTTGCCAAGCTTAGATAAAGTGAAAAGTCATCCAACAAGTAGCTGTTGGGTTTTTTGGGAAAAGTAATGGTGATCTGGCAGCATGTCAGGTTCTGAGGATCAGGATGTTTTATTTTCAGAAGCTTGAAGTTGCATCAGGTTGACATCCTGTGAAGTGGATATTAATTAGTACCAGAACTATGCAGTGAGCTGAATAAAAGATATATTTGAAGGACAGAATTTATTTACTCTTAACATGAGCTGAAATTACAGTGTAGTGGTGAGCTCTTACATGTATTGGATATTGTTGGCTTTTGAGTTATGGGGATATGTATGTTTGTTCCATTCCCCAGAGATGGGGATTAAACAAAATATTCAAAATTATTTCAATAATTTTTTTTAAATTTGTTCAGATAATTTTGATTTCTCATTATTAACACAAAGACCCTCATTAAAAAATAAAAATAAATGTGTTGCAAGGAATTACCTGGTTCTTTCTGAGAGTAGGTGAGTTTGTTGTGCTCTCTGCTAAGTGCCTTTAAAAATTATAAAGTTGGTTCATTTCATTGTTTGCACCATCTATTAATCATGATTTTTCTTAATGATTTCTTCACGGATTCATTGGATAGTGTCCTTTTTCTAAAGAAAATAGACAAATGTTGGCAAGATCACTGCAGACAAATGGTAAGTTTATCTTTTTTAAGGAAAACCAGTTGCTTTGTCAGCCTGTTTTGCTTAACTTTGATTTTTTTTCAAACTTCTGAAATGTCTTAAATTTATGTAAGGTTTCTTTGTGATATACAGCTGTATCTAATTTGTTAGAAATCAAGCCTTGAAAATACTTGCCTGTAGTGTGTTTCTTGGCATATGGGTCTGATCTTGGACACAAAGACACCCCTAACTCCTCATTGCCAGTTTCATGCAAACCTTTCTCCTTTATACCTATTTTTAAAGGAGCTGTTCTGTTATACAGAAATATGCAAAGTGTCACATTGGTCACTTTGCAGGGATTGGCAGAAGTTGTTAAATAAATCAGCAGTGTCCAAGAAAGAACTGCCTGAAACTGATTGGTGGGGTTTCTTGTTGTTGTTGAGCATACTTGGTGTTGCTGTTCAGTTTTGAGAGTAAAATGATTGTGGCTGTTTTATTCCTTCTGGTGACAGATTATGATTAGAAGTATCTTTCTGTTCTTGGATCGAACTTACGTACTTCAGAATTCAATGCTGCCATCTATTTGGTAAGGGCACAAAGAATTAAGTTATTTGGGGGGGCAGAAATAAAATTTGGGGGTGTATTTCAACTATTGCTTATATCTTGCTGATTTTCAGATGGATTTTTAATATGAACCTCATAGTGACCTTTAAATTACATGGTGAATGCATGAGTGCTTGTTGCAAAGGAAAACTTTTCATTTATTTGCCATAAATTATAGGATTGTTCTAGAATAGCTGTGATCCCAAATTTCAGTGAAGTAGATATCAGCCTCCAGTTTGCAGAGTTAAAGGAAGGGGTCTGGTCAACAGACCAGAGGTGCAAGGGTTTGGGGTGCCCAGTTAATTGCCTTAGCAGGCACAGTATTTTAAGCTGGAAAGAGTTACTTAAAAGCAAGATACACTCTTTTGGACTTCAACTTCTGCTCCTCTTATTAATTAGTATATGCCTTACTGTTCTTTGGTACCTGAATTACTTTGCAAGAGATTGATGGAGGGCCTGATTTTTTCTAAGAATGACTATACCTATAGCTCCAAATTCATGGAAGGTTTTAACTGGGACAGTCATTGCAGAGATCCTTGTCTGTCACATCACTGAATTCATCTAAGCTGTCCCTAAGAACGAGAGATGAGCAAGTGGTGGACAAAAAAGGAATATTGTTCAACACCATAACCATGGACTTGGAATCCAGGATGACTTTTTTTTTTTTTTCTCATGAAGGTTGGGGTTCCAACATCCTGTCAACCAACTGAAAAATAAAGATGTTGCAAAAGTTACATGGTATTTAGGAAAAAATATCTGCATTGGTGTTTAAAATGTGTAGCTTCATGTTGGTGTAGTGTCATGGTTTATTCTAGTGTTCATATATTTGTTCATCTTGAGTGATTTGGAGGCAGAGGAATGAGCAATTAAAGAATGCTGGTATTGGCCTCTTTATTAGATTTACATCATGTTTTAATAAGAGATAAGGGATTTATTCTTTAACAATTTATTGAGCAGTCTTTGCTTTCTTTTTAGGGATATGGGACTAGAATTGTTCAGAACTCATATAATCAGTGATCAGAAGGTTCAGAACAAAACTATTGATGGCATTCTTCTGCTGATTGAGAGGGAAAGAAGTGGTGAGGCTATTGACAGGAGTTTACTGCGAAGCCTCCTGAGCATGCTTTCTGACTTGCAGGTGAGTAAACCTGTTTCACCTTTAAACCAATAAATAGCTCAAATTCTTACTTAGTGCTCAGTAAGCTTCACCCTGGGTTGCTCTCATGTTGTTTCCTCAGATTTATCAGGACTCTTTTGAACATAGATTCTTGGAAGAGACTAATCGCCTGTATGCAGCAGAGGGACAGAGGCTTATGCAGGAACGAGAGGTATTTCAGATGTTTAACTGTATTTGTTGTGCCTGATGTCAAAGCACGTGTCAGGGAGTAGAAATATTCTGCTGCCTTAGTACACAAGGCAGTAGTGTGACCTTTGTTTTCCAGTATTCTGAAAAAGGAAATACACGTGCAGTTGCCTTCAGTCACAATGCTAATGATTTTTGATTAAAACTGAAGCTTCTTAAATTAAAACTTGTGTCAGACCAGTACTGTCTCTCTTTTCCCCTTCATGTTGTTTGTTTTCTTTAACATACAAAACTGCTCTGGCATTTTCAGGTCCCGGAATATCTTCACCATGTCAACAAGCGCTTGGAAGAAGAAGCAGACAGAATAATCACTTATTTAGATCAGAGCACACAGTAAGTGCAATCTCTCTTGGCCTGGTGGTATGGGCTGTTGGGCTCCTCTTCTGTTGAGGGCCATTTAAGTAGCTGCAATTTATTTCTGTTATTGACTGACCATCAAATGCTTTTCACTTCCCACGGTTCCATGTTGACAATGAAGCACTGTCTTGGCTCACACAGCTAATAGCCTTTTCTTCTAAGTCACTGTTATTTTGGCATAAATGTTGTTAAGTATTTGCTTGAAGAATAGGCTGCCTCTCCCAGCCCAGATGTCTCTTTCCTGCTGAAATGTAATTAATCAACTGTTGTCCTACCTGAAAAAGATAAGACTTGGCATAGAGTATTCTAAAGCTAAAGCCTCTGAATATTTGTGAAAAGTATTTGCATATGGAGTCTGGGAAATTATTGAATAATTTCATTCTCCAATCTTTTCTACTTAGAGGCAGGATTTCCTCCAACACAGTCAGGTGGAGGTCCTGTAACGTAAAGCTACAGCTGTTGTGTCTGAGAGAAAATGTAGGTCACTGATATCAAAACCTTTCTGAGAGAGAGGTGTTTTATTGCTAGTGTCATACGTTTTGATTTCCTTCCTCTTTCAGCTGTTAAAAGCTTTTAGCTTGTTCAGTGGCTTCCTTCTTCCATGCCAGTATTAGTGGCCAATTCCCTGTTTTGTTTTAATACCTCTTGACTTGAGGTCTGTTTTATTTCTCCTTGGTTTGTCTCCCAAGACCTGAATGTCCTCCCACAACACAGGATTAGGCATATTATTTGATGAATTCTCCCCAACTTCTTCACTGATGGAATCATTGTCCAGCTGTGTACAGGTCATGTATAACAGGCTTGTTGTGTGAATTAAAATCATCAGTCAGCAAACAGGAAAAAAAATATTGTTTACTCGGGAGAAAAAGGATAAATATGTGTATAATAATTTTAAGTCTTTGGCCACAGGTAATTAGAGCACTCCCAATGATAATGTAATTAACATAATCTCAAAAGAAGGATTTTAAATTGTCAGTAATGGAAAAAGGAAAAGTAATTCTAAACATTTCTTCTGTAGGAAGCCACTAATTGCTACTGTAGAAAAGCAACTTCTGGGTGAACATTTAACAGCCATTCTTCAGAAAGGTAATCTTTCTTCTTTATAGAAATGTTTCTAATTACTGCTTCAGGGCTTTCAGTTCCTGTGCAGAGAGAAAGCAATGGATTGGGGTGCTGGGGGAGGACAAACTGCATCATTCCTTAACTCCCTTTGCTCCTCAGTTCCCAAAATAGCACTGGCCATTCTTCTGGTTGGAGATAAGGGGACACTGTGCTGTCTTCTGATAACATAGCAAAGCAAAAGGAAAATTAGAACAGGAGACTCAAGCTCCATGTGTTAAGTGGCATTTTGAAGACTCGGAGGTAAAGAAAGGAGTACACTTTGAATTATGGCTGTAACAGAAAAGGGAGATACTGAGTACTTGCTGCTGACAAAAAGCAGCTTGTTTTAAAAATGTAGTATAATTTGAGCTATGGAATACATTGCCTCAGTTCTACAGTAGTCTCTGTGGAGTCAAGTGACCCTCTCTTGATCTGAGAGATAATTGGAAATAGAAACAGATGCAGCAAGAGTTGAATAATAAACAATCAGGTCCTTAGTAGCCAGATTCTGAATGAAACAGGTATGTGAGCATCTTCCTGCACTTGTGTAACAAACTCTTCATTGAGGGGAGTATCAGTCTTTACCCATCTACTTTATTAGACCCTTGCTGTAGAGCATCAGAGCTTCTCCAGAAGGTTAAAAAGTGAATGGTGAAGATATTTCTTGAAGCTGATTGCCTTCAAGCATCTGTAAGATTTATTTTACAGCTGGAGCTGAAACTCAGAGCTGTCTTGCCAAGGAACTTTTCCTATGAATCAGTACAGTGTAAACTTTTCAAATCTTTAGGGAATAGTAAGGCAGAAGTAAGCAAAGATGTAGTGATAAGGTTGTTAAATAAAGTGCATGTGTCCTAAGTGCAATAAAATAATAAGATTTTTAAGGTTTCAGTCAGATATTTTTTGTTTCACTGCTAAATTAGGTACTTCAAAATAAAAACAAAAAAAAAAAAAAAAGCCACCACTAATGGTTTGATAAAAAAATACTAGTTTTGAAGAGGCCTCACTGTAGTAATAAGCTGTGCTTTCTTTGGGTTACTCTGGTTTTAATTTCTGTTGCAATTCTCACATTTGCAGGTCTGAATCACCTTCTGGATGAAAACCGAATTCAAGACCTGTCTCTCCTGTATCAGTTGTTCAGTCGTGTGAGAGGTGGAGTACAGGTTCTCTTGCAGCACTGGATTGAATACATAAAGGTACTGTTCCTCCAACTCTGGAGCAGATACCACTGTTGTAGCAGTGGGGTTTATACACAGATACTTGAGTAATCTCTGTAAGCTATTGCATTTTTCTAAAAATTGAAGATATTTGGTTATAAACATGTATTTAATAGACAGCTTTTGAAATATCCCAGGAAAGGTACACTAACTGTTCTAGCTCTATTGAAGAAAACAGTGAGCATTCAGTTGAATTATTGAACTCCAAATACATTTGGATTTTATAATCTTGCTTTTAGTTAGTTTGTGGGACAACCATATTTCTTCAGTAGTTATTTGGGTAATGGCAGAATGTTTGTCTTCTTCCTAATAAAATTTCCTGTGAGAATGAGTGGTTGTTCAAGTTATGAACCAGCTGAGATTCAAAAACCACTTGAATATCAGTTAGGATGATTCATTTTTTCTCAGTGAAAATGTCACAGAAAATTTGGTTGTTGTGAAAGAAGAGTATTATGAAATAAAACTTAATTTAGTGGGAGCATTACCTGTGTAAAACCTGAGGATATAGATGATTAAAAAAGGTGTGTTTATTTTGTCATGCAAAACTTCATTTCTTTAGACTGAAGTTTTGAATCCATTCACTTTTTCACCAGTTGGTTTTGAATCAATATGCAAGGGCAGGGATGATTAGATAGTAAATACTTCATAGTACAGTAATACATAATAAAGTAATACTTTTGTTGTTACTGGAACTATATGAGTACCAGAAACAACACATTACAAAGGTAACTTAAGATTTTAGAAGTCTTGTAATTTACATTAATTATTCAGGCTAATTGAAAGATATGTTTTATTTTGCAGGCATTTGGTAGCACCATAGTAATTAATCCTGAAAAAGACAAAACCATGGTCCAAGAACTTCTTGATTTTAAAGACAAAGTTGACCATATTATTGATGTTTGCTTTCTCAAGAACGAGAAATTTGTAAATGCCATGAAAGAAGCCTTTGAAACATTCATTAACAAAAGACCAAATAAGCCAGCTGAACTCATAGGTATTTTTCTTCAATTTCGTTCATGTGAGAATTTGGGTGCTGAGTTGCTGATGTACTTACAGATGGGATATGCTGGAATTGTGTGTTAATACATGCACAGTGCACATCAGACTGGGGATCTGCTGTGCCACCTGATGCAAGGGAATTGTTTGGGAGGGTAGCATCAACCATCAAAAGCAAACTGGTCATCACTTAACTGGCTAGGCTATAAAAAAGTGCAGAACATCAGAATTTGGGCATTCCAGCAATTGGCTGGTGTCCAGACATGAGAATACTGCTAATAATGAGACATTTTCAGAAGCTTACATAACTGTGCCACCAGCACATGTGCACAGAGCTGTTAGGGGTTTAATGTGTGAAGGGAAGAGAGCTGAGGATGCACTGAACCTCTCACGGTGTGGGGACAGATCTGGTTTGTAAAGAATGTTGCTGACAGATTTGTGCATTACGTGCCTGGTACTCTGCACTTTGGAACCATTTCCCACACAGTGAATAATGCCTGCTTGGCAATTGGCTGTGCTGTTGGGCTTGTGGAGTGATACTTTCTGCCCTCCTTTTTTGTATTAATTCCCTAACTGTAATGTGCTTACCAGCCCATTTGAAATTAAAACAAGCAATCTAGTTTGATTGAAACTGGAAATTAAAACAAAATAATGATATGCTAGAGAAATTCAGCAGTATAGGCAACACATTTAAATAGCTGATTTACATATTTTCATCTGATCTTTTTGTTTCTATTACAGCCATGTCAATCTGCAACAGCAGTGGCTTTACTTTGTGATTTTTTTTTCATAGGCAAAATATTTTTAACATTGTGTATGATAATAAAGTCAAGATGCAGGCATTGCTGATCTGAAAAAAGATGCTAGGCTATAATGTTTGTGTAACTTTATAGCCTCTCTGAAAATGTATCAAGGTAGCTGTTGTGAGGCTGATAGAAAGTGATTTCAGGATCCTTTCCATTGTCAAGATTTCATAATATTAGATGTAGAGGTTTTTGTTTCACTGTGGTATTAGGCATGTGCTAAACTCTATTCTTCAACACTCTTTTAGCTAAATATGTGGATTCAAAGCTTCGTGCAGGCAACAAAGAAGCTACTGATGAAGAACTTGAAAAAATGCTGGATAAAATTATGATCATATTTAGGTTCATATATGGTAAGCATTGGGGTTTTTTTTGTGGGGATACAATTGTTTAACCAGTAACGTAAAGGTATTTTGAAATTATTTTTGCAGTTGGGTTACATTTTCAGGTGTTTGTTCCCTGTGGATGTGTTTTGTTGGTGTAGTGCTGTTTAAATACTTTGCCTGCCAAATTGCAAATAACAAAACCTGTGGAAGTCTTAATATGAAGGCCCTTTTTGTTTTTCTGAGCTTTGAATTGGGTCTTTTGTAGGTGAGGTTTGTTTAAAACCAGCAGTGCTTTGTGATCACTTGGAAATCTCATCTCTTACAGGAAAAGATGTCTTTGAGGCCTTTTATAAAAAAGATCTAGCAAAGAGACTATTAGTTGGGAAGAGTGCATCAGTAGATGCTGAAAAATCTATGCTTTCCAAACTCAAACATGGTAAGTATCTACGTATCCACCTACCTGTCGTTTCTATCCATCAGCTTTCTTTTAAAAGGAGTTGTTTTAACAGGCCTTCACAGAAACACTGTTGATATTTCCCCTTTCCATGAGGGCAGAAGCCTCTATGCAGGTCCTGAATGACTGGTGGGTTTTGAGGAGATGCATTTGCTTTTAGTTTTGTAGTTATGGCAGGAAAAGCCAAAACTCAGGAACGTAAAAGTGCACAGTGTATCTTGGCCTGTGGGATAGAGTGGAGGTTCCCTGCTGAGTAAATCGGTGATGTGCTCAGAGAAAAGGTGACTTCCAGTTGTTCTTCACTGCCAGCAAGTCTTCTCTAGTCTGCTCTTCATTGTTTCATTGGATGGAGCCCTTGGTGGTAAGGGTGAGATTTTTAGAGCTTGATCTTGTTCTGCCATCAGGAGACAGTTTGAAAGGCAGCTGGTAGGGATTAGAATTGTAATCTGAGTGACCAGTGCCACTATAGTCAAAGGATGAACAGTCAGGTCCATATGGAAAAACAGCTAGGTTGCAAAATAGCTACCACATCAAAACATCTTCCTTTCTCTTGTGTATAACCTTATTCTGTTCCTTAATTAGAATCCAGGTCTTTATGTAAGAAAATCTGGTGAAAAAGGTCATCTTGCTTATAAGTACATTCTGGCATTCAGAATAACTATGCTGAGGTGTTGAAAATAAACAGATGAATTTCTAATATCTGTATTTGCTCTTTTGTAGAATGTGGAGCTGCTTTCACCAGCAAACTTGAAGGAATGTTTAAAGATATGGAGCTTTCTAAAGACATAATGATACAATTCAAACAGGTACTGAGGGAAAGCCCTGTCTGTCCTGTCTGTGCTTTTGAAAATATTACTGAATTTATTAAAGGTTTTTGCTGAGCAAAAAAACTGAGACAAGCTTCTTCAAACAAACAACCAACCCACAGCAATAACAGAATTGTAAACTTAGAAAAATTTTAACACCAGCTCTAAGACATTTTTAACACCACTGTATTCCAGTGCCTGGCTTGGAAGTTTTTTCACATTTAGTTCTGATGATTTTGTAATGTTTTGATTACAAACAATTTTTAACATTCTTTCCTCTGTTCACACTTAATTAGATAGATCTTCACCTCAGCCTGCTAAAAGACTACATTTGCTGTTTTCTTCCTGTATGGAAGTGCCTTTTGAACTTCAGAAAAGTGCTCATTCTTACCTTAATTTTCTTGTAACTTGCAGTGTATACAACAAAACTTCATGTGGTCACTTGTCTTTTCTGCTCTTGCAATGCCTGTTCTAACTTTTCAGCTCTATCTGAAATATGTATAATTAACATAGCTCTATTTCAATTTATTTTGTTTCTCTTTGCAGTATATGCAAAATCAGAATGTCCCTGGCAACATTGAACTAACAGTGAATATTCTGACTATGGGTTATTGGCCAACCTACGTGCCTATGGAGGTCCACCTGCCCCCAGAGGTAATGAACATCATGGATTATACAAGTATTGACCTGTCAGAAATGCATCTTGGGATCCACTGACACTTGGTTTTCAATATGCATAGAGAAGGAAATGCAGAATTATCTTTTTAAAATGAAGTTTGTTTTCTTGCAATTCCCTTTATCATTCTAAGCCTTGATTTAAGGTTTAATTGATTGTGGAGGAGGGAATGATGCTTTTAAAGTAGAAATTGTGTTTTAGTGTTTTGGGATTTTTCTTTCTTCAGATGGTAAAACTGCAGGAGATTTTCAAGACCTTTTATTTAGGAAAACACAGTGGTAGGAAACTTCAGTGGCAGTCAACACTAGGACACTGTGTACTAAAAGCAGAATTTAAAGAGGTGAGTCTATTGTTTCTATTGCTCCTGTTGTGTTGTTGGTTCCAGGTCTGGGTTGTACATTAGGGATATATGGGGAAGCTTTTTTTTGTGCTGTGATGGAAAACTTCACAGTGTCTGCAACTACTTTTAACCTCCTATCTTCCAGATATTGGTAGTTACTGAGCTACCAGATGTGTTAATGTCTAAGAACATGCACCCAATTTCTGTATTGGTGGGGAAAGAAAAGCCTGTTGGGGAAAATATCTACTGGTTTTAGCTCCAGATTAATAAATGGCCCTTATTTTTATAGTGGGGAAAAAAAGGGGACCATGTTTCTTCAATGGCCTTACTTCATCTGATAGCATTAAGCATCTTCACAGTAAGCTTTTACTACTGAAATACAGAAAAATTCTGGATTGTACAAGAACACAACTGTTTTGAAAGGATTTCCACTTACTCCCCTTCAGCATTTCTTCATGGACACAATATTCTCATGAAATAGGAATGCTTACCACAACAGTTTTCAGAAAAAGTTAATGGCAAAACAAATATTATCAGACTTGATTGTTTCAAAGGTTCCTTATACTGTGTTCCTTAAACTAATGTTTGTGTTAGATTTTGACTTAAAGGCCTTCCAAATTGTAATTTTAAGCACTCAGTGCTTTAAGACTTGTCTGGAGTCATCTGATGCATATCTTGGATGAGTTTTGTCACTGGATAGAATAGTCCAGCCTTGTGGCCTCAAGCTTGTGCTGCATTTCGTAGTAAACACAAGTGACCAGTAACTTCTATTCTTCCATATTCTCAAGTGAATAAAATAACACCCTGTTAGTGAAATAACTGACATACAAGAGTGACTTGTTTCTCATGTTCCCCTCACTCCTTTCCCTCCACCCCCCAGAAAAAAAACAGCCTGCTGATATCTGTTTATTTCCTTTGTGACAGGGCAAAAAAGAACTTCAGGTCTCCTTGTTCCAGACACTGGTGCTGCTCATGTTTAATGAAGGAGAGGAGTTCAGTTTAGAGGAGATAAAGCAAGCCACTGGGATAGGTTGGTATCAAAAACAACTGAATACTTCCAAGTGTTCTTACTAAAAAAACCTAAACAACTTGTTTCTGCTTTAGAGGATGGAGAGCTGAGAAGGACACTTCAATCTCTGGCTTGTGGCAAAGCCAGAGTACTGACTAAAAGCCCCAAAGGCAAAGATGTGGAAGATGGTGATAAATTCACATGTAATGATGATTTCAGACATAAGCTCTTCAGGATAAAAATCAACCAAATTCAGATGAAAGAAACGGTATATTTTTTTTAATCTCTGGGGTTTAGATCCTTGGGTTAAGAAGTTTGTTGCCTGCCCTTTTACAAGCTTTTTTCTCCCGGTTATCACGTACATACTGATATCTCTGTCAGAGTTGCACATGTAATTTGGATGACAGCACATACCTAACAGTGGTGATTTAACTGTGTGCCTCTGTACTAAGACACCAGTGATGCTGGATGTCTCTAAGTAAGGTTAAGAGAAGTTCCAATTCTGAAATGTTCTTTTCGTCCTTTATCATTCCATGGAGCTTTACTGACTGTGAACATGGAAAATTCACTGTGGACTTGTTTCTCTGACAGCCATCCAGTGTAAAATCTGAGCAAAGGTTTTAAATTTTTGTACAAGTGTGTTTTTCAATAGACAATCAGTCTTCGTATTTGTAAAGGCTTTATGTCAGATATTTGACAGCAGGCATTTCGCTGTCTTACGCTGAGAATTGTCTTGGAGGCTGAAAGAATTGTTTTGACAGTGCTGGTGCTCTCATTAAAGCTTTTCTAAACGGGTCCTTCAGGTGGAGGAGCAGGCAAGCACTACAGAGAGAGTGTTCCAGGACCGGCAGTACCAGATCGACGCTGCCATTGTGCGGATCATGAAGATGCGCAAGACGCTGAGTCATAACCTGCTGGTGTCAGAGGTCTACAACCAGCTGAAATTCCCAGTCAAGGTGCTGTGCTGAGTTTTCTACTTCTGAAACCCTGTCAGTTCTTTTTATCTTCCCTGGCCAGCCCTCTGTTGAACAGTGCTTCTGTCTAAAGTATGCATCTTTTTGGTATTAGAGAGGGCAAATAGTCACTTTCAGGAATTTTTGAAGTGCCAGTTGTTACTAAAATGTATTTCCAAAGGATTTCAGCCCTGGAGTTTGTTAGCAGTAAGGGAGCAGCTGGCTTTCCTTGTATGCTGCTGTTCTACTGTTTGCAGTGTTCTGGCAAGGCATTCTTGAGCAAAGGAGAAAATGCTTCAGATCTCAAAACCAGTTCTGCGTTGTAATCTTAACTTGGTTGATACTTCTGAAGTACAGTGGTTTTTCTGGATTGATTATACTGGTTAATATATACATACACAGATATATAGGAATAAAAATAAAATATTGGTGAATGTCTCAAAGCTGAAGAAGCCCACAGTTGCAATATAAAATGACTGGCTTATTGTGTAGGAATGGAAATGTCTTTTCAAACAGACAATGATGCATTGTTGGAATTCAAATATATGGTGCTTTCTATCAATGGAATTGTAAAACAAAAGGTCCTGCTATTTAATTCCATTGTATTACCATGTTGAGTGCCTGCAGGTCTGTAAGTATTGCATAAACTGCAGTTGGGCTGTGTAAGATTATAGCAGATCATTTAAATAATTTTCCTCACTTGTTATCATGAGGCATTTTTATAAAGTTCCTCCCCCAACAAAATCACAGGGCACACAAACTATTGCACAACTCATTTGCTTCAAGAGGAAATGAAACTTGTACTTTTACTGGCTAAAAGTCAGAAATAGAAACACTTTGGTACATGATGCACAAACAGAACTTCTTTAGAGTTCAGTTCAAACAGCAGCAAGTATCTTCCCTTTCTGTAAAAATCTGTTTAGCTGCAGGTGATAGCTAACTTTGTAACTTTCTCTTCTATCAGTTATACATTGCAGACTTTAGAAGCTCTGAGACTTCAAATTATTTTTTTAATGGGGATTTCTGTTTCCTTGGCCATCTCAAACAATATAGATATTGGGCTCAAGTGGAAAGAAAGAACCAAGAAGCATTGACTGCAAAGTAATAATGCTGACATGTGCTTTGTTTTACAGCCTGCTGACCTTAAGAAGAGAATAGAATCCTTGATTGACAGGGACTACATGGAAAGAGATAAAGAAAACCCGAATCAGTACAACTATATTGCATAAACATATGTTGGCCTTTGTTTTACTGCACACTTGGTGTCCTACACAGTTGCCAGTGGATAAACTAGCCTCTTGATCCCGTTAATTGACTTTTTATACTACCGATGATTGAATGAAAGCAGTGTCATGGAAAAGTATAGTAGAGTGGACTTCTTTCAGTGGTTAACATGCCCATTTAAAGAGTAATATTTACATTTTAAGAAGAATGCTGTTGAACTCTTTGCATGTTATTTAGTAAGATGTGCAGAAAGCTGAAAGAAAGTACCTGGTCTTTCTGATTCCATTTGTCTCTGGGTCTGAAGAGGAGTCCCTTGATATATGACAGATATTTTTCACATCTTTAAATGGAAACAGAAGGTTCATTACTATAAGAAAATAGCCTTTAAAATGCTTAAACTGCATGCAAACTTTTAATTTACTGTACAGAATGCATTTCAGTTATACATACCATTGGTTTGGTTGATGCCCACACTTGGATTTTTTTCTCTTGAGGGGGGAAAATGGGGAGTAAGTCAAGCTATGCTTATTGCTGATCTAATGGAAAATATTCTTGGTTGCAATTAAGACAAAATGGTGCCATTATAAAAGGATGTATAAAGTTTGCAGTGTGGGCATATATACTGTATATACAAACACCATTCTTAAATAACTGCTACAACAAAACAAGTTCAGATTAGATTTATATGGCTTGCCTATGAGACTTGGTGTTCACCTTTGGGAATTTTAAGCATAAAACAGCCATAATGGAAGGAGTGACAGTTTTTACTAGTCATGGGTAGGAGGCCTTCACCTCTTGGCAGCAATACTCTAGAATAAAGAGAATCTATTAACAGATGAAAAGCCACACTGTTATTGTGGTAAAGCTGTAAGAACAAAAATTGCAAGTGGATTTTAATACTTGTTTTGCTTTGCAACATTCTAAACTTGAATTAACCTCAAGGTTTAGACAGGGCAGGTCTTCTCAGACTGCCCTGCTTTGGATTGCTTTAACTTAAAGCTTTAAGAACTCAGCCCTAGAGCCTAGCAGGCCTCCTAGAACCCAGAAGCCTACCTCTCATATAGTAAGTTAAGTATTGCTACAAGGCATCTAAAATATATTTTCTTAGATGACCAGAGAGCATTCTTTGCATCTTTATAAGACATGGGAGAGTAAGTCACTTGAATGTAGAGCTTTGTTTCAACAAAATACATTTTTTATTGCTTACAGCAGCATTTGCCAGGAATACATGGAAAGAAGGTGTCAGCAGAAAAGGAACTCCTCCACGTACCAGTTCTTCCTTACCCAGCCAGGCTTTATACCTATGATCAGCTGTGTTGCAGAGCACAATGAAAAACCTCATCCTCTTTCAGGCACTGATAGTCCTGGGGAATACCAGAGATCTCTTGAAAGCAAGATGTTACTTTTGTTTAATGGCAGTGTAACTTAGCTCTCTCTGACTCTAACTTCTATCACTGTGATCCCACATTCAGGGGTGTGCATGTGTGAGCGTGTGTGTGCGTTTTCTATCTGACACATCCCATCCTTAGTGCTTTTTTTTATCTACTGTTTAATTCCATATATTCTCCAGCCATGTTTTCTCTCAGGCTCTTTTGTATGCAGTCCTCAGCTGACAGATGAAACAAATGTGAGTGGTTTTTTTCCTATTAAATTATTTGCAGTCGTACTAACCATCATACAGCTCTTTGTGATCTGCAGAAAATCTACCTTGCCCCTTGACACTATTGCAGCATAACCACTGGTAGACAACCAGGGCCACCCCTGCCTCTCTGAGACAAATACTGACATAGAGTTACGTGGGAAGAACCTTGAAGACTCCTGTAAATCTTCAAGTATTAGCTCAAATAGAGATCCACTGGGGAGGAAAGAATGCCTCCCACCGTAAAAAAAATCTTCTATGTTTCGCATTCAATGTTCCTTTTCTTGTATGTGTTTTGTATCTTCAGCCAATAAAAGATTCCTTTTAAAGAGAAATGGAGAAGAAGCATAAGACTTAACTCTTTGGGAGACAGGAGCTGATGCATTGAGCTGGTTCCATTCTGTCTGTTGTAGCATATAAATCTAACACCACTACACGTGTGAACGCCCATTGTGGTAAAACCCTCCCTCATTACACAAGTGTCACATTCAGTCAAACAAACTGCAAAGGACTGTAGGTTTATTTCATTTTTATCCTGTCTAATGCAGAAAATATTATACAGAAAATGTCCTGAAATCTCATCAGAATTCACAATGTGAGGCAGAGCCCAAGCGCAATCCAGTTAAAGCAACCCAAAGAATGGACTTTGAGAACCCTGGCTAGACCAGGAGAGGGGTGAGCGAGGGGAGGGGAGAAGGCTTCTCCTTGTAGCTTCATGGGTTTTCCCCAGGAACTTGTTCATCTCTTCTGCTGAGGTCTGGCTCATTCCTGGTTAATGACAAAGCCGCAGCCAAGATTTGTCGTCGTACAACTCCGCAAATTCTTGCTGGGATCGTGTGCCTGCTTATTGAGCCATATATATCTCTGTAAGAAAAACTGAAATGGGCTTGGACCACAACTCATCTGGCTAGAACACAGCTTGTCTTTTTGGCCACACATTTTTAATCTTGACTCTTGCATGCAGTTTATAGCACCTTGTTCATAAGAAATTGCAGTTTATTCTTAGAAATATATATTTTAGGTTTTTTAATCTTTATACCCATAAATGGACTATTTTTTTGTCTTGGCTAGTTTCAAAAGTGACCATTTTGTTTAAATGCTGTAATTGCAAATGTGTTGTAAACGTTGTTTTGTTCTATAGTTTACACGAAGGTGCCAAAGTAAATAGTTAATTAAAAAAAAACACAAAAAAACAAACCCTAGCAAATCGTTAAGTTGCTTTAGCTGTTCTTCATATTTTGGTCTCAGCTTTATTTTTTTTTTGTCAGCCTTTCATTTTTTCCTAGACATATCATTTGCCCTAATGCTTTCTTTTAAAACAAAAAAAAAAAAGTGCATCTAAAAAAATGTTCAAATACCACTCTTTTTTTAGTGCTCTCATATAGTAGGAAGAACATTTTCTTTGAAACGTTACACTAAAATTGTAAGAGTACAGCAGCATTCAAAAATGTAATATACTTTTTGTATAACAAAAGTCTTGAGAGTGTGTCTGGAGTGGGGGGGGAAAACTAACCCTGTTACTTTTCAGAAGCCTCTTCCCTCAGCTACCAGAATATGAAAATGTGCTTTTTCACAGCATCAAAAACTTATAGTTTATGCAGACTTGCAAACAGGGCATGTATCACCGTTGCATCCTTCGATGCAAAAAGCAGCAAAACCTTTTTTATGTTTCATAAGTCTGATATGGGTACAGAGAGTCTTTCTTAAGTTGGTAAATAATGTAAATACATGTCCTTTCAGAGAGTGAGTCTGTTATCTAGGTATTTTGTGTCATTTAATAAATATTAAACAGTTTTGTGTTGATAAACTCTTGTGTGTAAAATGCCTTCTTACTCCAAGTTCTGTATGTTGGGCTTACTAATGTTTATGGCTTCTTTAAATTCTTTAGCTTGTGCTTTGATAGCAAAATACTTGTTTGCTACTTAAATATAATAAGTAGTTCTTTATTCATTCAGTCATTAAAATCCCTTGAGTTTTCTAAGTGGCTTCCATTCCTGAATTTTTTTATTTTGTGTTTTTTGCTAAGTCTTCTATGGTTCTTGGAGGGGAAGGAAATAAGCATCTTCATAGACCCTGAATTGGGATTAGAATGTGTACAAGTGGCAGAAATACACAAAAATACCAGAGGTGGTGCCTTGTTCCTGAAGGAGGCACCTCTCCTGCTGTGTGAATATTCCTTGTCTCCCACTTTTATCGTTATTGTAACGACCCTGGAATGATTATTGACGTATGAAGGACAGAGCTGTATAGAGAATTTGCTTCTCTTATTAAGAATAGCCAATTGGCCATTTCTTGATTTTTCTTCACCCTGAGCAGCTGGGTTAAATCTGAGCAGAAGGACTGTGTCCAGCCTGGCCCTTCCCAGCTCAGGAGCACTGACTCGGTGGAAGGGGGAGATGGAGTGTTTTGGATTTCCTTTTTGAATTCTGGGAACTGGGATGGCTGTAGCAGAGCAGGTGCCGGTGCTGTGAGCTGTTCTGGAGGTTGGTGTGGGCTGCAGGGGGCTGAGCCTGCCCTGCTGGAACCACACAGCACTCCGGGGCAGGTGGGCTTGGGCAGGTCTGGGAAGCACCTGCCACCAATCCTGCTCGGCTCCTTCCTTCCCGTCTCACACTTGGAGGCAGCTAAATGCATGGCATGGTTTTTCCACCAATGCTTTCTCCTTAAGGAGGATATTTCCTACATTCTTAAAAAAAATAATAATAATAATCTTGCAGGAACAGATGACTGTTTGGAGACTGATAGATTATCTGTCTACTCTGAGGAAAAAAAAAAACAGAGCAGCAAATTCATTCATATTCTTTCATTCTTTTTCCCATGTGAAATACAATATATGCCACTGCACTTCCTCCTGATTGAGAATAACTGATGACAAATCAAATTTAAGATGGTAGTTTTGGATTTACCTTTTTTGTTCCCCCTTAAAGAGGCTGGGGCCTGTGGACATACTGTGGAATTTAAACAATCAACACCTCATAATTTATTGCAGTGGTTGAGAGGCACTGAACTTTGTGCAAAGGATATCTTTTAATACACGGAGTTAACTGGGAAAAGAAACAATGGATGTTGGTTAATCTACAAAGGAGCAGGTTTTTTTCCTGGTTAAGTAATTGTTTCGTAGTACAAGGTCACCTTTCAAATGACTCACAGATTGTCTTGCTGCTGCTTATAGAAAATTAGCATTAGGATATAAATTAAACCAAAAAGTAACTTTGAAAGTGAATTTTCTAGAATCAGCAGGATATTGCAGCACTGCAAATAAACCTCTTAAGCTGAGGAAAAGTAGTTCGCATCCAGCAAATACTAAATTTTTATCAATTGCTAAAGATTTACACAGACCAGCCACAGTAACTGTGTCTGACCCTAGGACCCCACTAAGAATGCCAAGTGCAAGTGAATGTTTCCAATTAGTCTCCTGTTAGTTCTTTGGTTGCAGCTCGAACTGGTGCCTCTGGAGAGGGACCCCTACCCCAGTTCACACCTCTCAGTTATATCCTGACACTCATCACCCAGGCCAAGTCAAACACAAAATTCTGGTCAGTGGACTCTTGATTTCCTGCTGGGTTCCATTGTTGCTGGGCTGGCCACCTTCTCATGCGGCTTTTTCTTTTGGAATTGTCTCCTTATCATATCCCCTCTGCTTGTATCTGCTGAATTCCAAGAGTTCTTCTGCTACCAGCATTGTTACATTTGTTAGATCAAAAGTTTGGTCGGCTCTTGCAGCCTAAGGAGACTATTCAGACAGGAGAATACAAGTAACCTAATTTTCTCTGTAACTGTTGATAGTTCTTTATCTTACTCCTTAAAACAATCAGTTGTTTGTCTGCTTGCAACACCTGTTTTTTAGAGCTGGAGGAAAACATGATGTCACCAGGTACTTCTGTGTTAAAGTGCCTGAGTAATCATAACTTGGTATGAAATTTTGTCTTTTCAACAAGGTAAGTCTACAGATCCTGTTCCATTTAATGATATTTGCAGTAACAGGGAAGTTGCAATAACTGCTTTCAGTAGATCCCACATTTAGATGTGTTATGCAATTAAGGAGTGCAGAGGATCACTGCCCAGGCCTTTGCAGGGCCCAAGGGCTCCTGTGCTTCTTTGCAAAGCTTAGTCACTATGACTTTGCAGAAAGGGGCTAGCATGCAAGTAAATTGCACCTGAAATGATAAGGAATAGATTGCTTGTTACTATTTGGAGCAGTAGTTGTTTTAATTCAGTGTGAAATATCAGTCCTGGATTATTAGCAACATGTTCAATTACATATCACTTTATTTTTCCCTTCTGGATTGAACGTCCTAGGAAATTATCACAGTGCCAGTTCTGTTTTACCCTTGTGTAATCTCTGAAGTTTGAGGTATAGCTAAAAAAATTCATTATCATGGCCAAAACCAGATAGCTTTCTCAAAAGCAGGCCCTTAATTACATCCACAAAGCCCTTCAGCTGGTGCTAGTTTTAGGCTCAAGGCAAAGTTGATCTTTAATTAATTAATTTTCAGTGAAGGCTGGGCATGAGATGGGAACATAAATTACAAAACAGCCTCTGCAGAGGTGAGTGAAACCCTGTCACTGCACAGGTAAAGCTGGTTTGTAGGATGTGGCTGGGGAGTAGGTCACAACTGGTTCTGCAACCACAGGACTCCGATTTTGTTGCTTGCAGAACTGGGGCTGTGTGTGTATCCCTTCAGTTTCTCCCTTTTTAATCCTACAGCAGCAGCTGCTGCTTCAAATCCCAGCTCTAAAAGCACAAAGCAAACAGAACTTCCAACTGGAGAGAGCTCATTCCCCCAAAGAGCTCTGTTTCAGGACAATGCAGTGAAAAGGCATTAGCCTGGTGTTTGCCAGACCTGGTTTCTGATCTCTGTCAGAGCTGGAAACCATAGACCAGCTACAAATATCATTATGTTCTCTGTAAAAGGGATGTAATGTTATTCTAGGTCACAAGGGATCCTGTAGCACCGAAGTCCTGCAGTTAAAATATCCAGTTCTGAAAATGACTGTATAATATCCAGTTTCCCTCCCTGCCTTGTATTTTAGAGGCAACATCTTTTCCTGCTGAAATCTCTCAGAAAATGTTACAGCCAACACATCTTTCATAAGAGCTGGAAGTGGGCGGTGCCTTCTGTGCAGAGCCATTTTCACACAATGAATTCTGCTCTGAAGCTGACAGATGTATCTCCAGCAAGTTAGCACTGCATGTCGATCAAACCACAAAAGCCAGAGCATTGACACACCTCTCCTTTGCTGGAACAAGCCCAAAGAACATCTTGTCAGTCAAACAAGTTCTTTTTTTTTTCACATTAAACAGAGCTACATCTACAAGCAGCTTGGTCTGACTCACAAAACGCATCAATCTCATCCTCTGCCACATGTTAACCCAGCTGCTGAGTGTTGCAGCACACATCACATCCAGCAGCAGCTGGAAACGCTTGGAGCACCGCGGGGCACCCCGACACCCCGCAGCGCCGAGGGGCAGCAATGGGACAGCGAAGGGACAGCAGTGGGACAGAGAAGGGACAGCTGCCGGCCCAGCACCGTGCCAAGGCCCAGCTCCTGCCTTGCTTCCACGCTCAGCCTCCAGCCCGCGATGAACCCAGCCGGGTTCGTGTGACGCTGCCGCCGCTCCCAGCCCGCTCCAGCCGGGAATGTTTTTCCAGCTGCGTCGCGACACGAGCGGGTTTACAGGAAATTTCGCAGCTCTCTGCTGCAACCTGCTCTCTGATCTCTTCACCTCCCCACCAAGCTTTCTTTTTTTGGCTTTTCACGTGATTTCCCCAGTCTTGACTCAGCAGTTTCCCGCAGCCGCGTTTATTGGTTTGGTTTCCCAGCACCACCTCCCCCGAAAGCGGCGGCTCGGGAGCGCTGCCGCCCGCTCGGAGCCTGCGCACGGAGCAGATAAAAAGGGTTTTTTGGGTTTTTCGGAGCTGTTCCTGCCCCCGAGCACTCTCACGCACGCAGCTGAGGCCCCGCAGATGTCACCCTGTGCTGGACACTCCGTGGTCTTCACTGCGGGGGCCGGACCCCAATGCTCAGGCCGCAGGCTGCAGGCTGGGCTGCGTGAGAAGGAGAATCGTGAAGAGCTGTAAGCTCGGCACAGCCCCAAGAGGGTCCCTGTGGTTCACCCCCTCTGCCAAGCGACTGGGACCTCTCCGGCCAGCATTAATACATTCCTCTTTCCACCTTTTCCACGTGAAATGGAACCAAATCCTTTCTCTCCATCCTGGGAAGGAATAATTGGTTCTGCCATAATCTTTTCCCTGAAAAAAAAAATACAGGAATTGCCCTTTTGTTTCGAGATATCTAAAAGAATAAATAAAACACACATTAGAATAAAGCCATGATTACAGCATGTCCTAGGGATTATCTCTTGCTTCTTTTTATCACAACCTCTGCTCTCCTGCACCAGGAATCAGAAACATTAAGGTACTCAGTGCTTCATTAAACAGTGCACACTTTGCTTCTGACCACACACGTCCATCAATTTTGGCGAGTCCCAGGGCTAAGGAAAGTTTGACTACAGAAATAGTATCTAAACTGCTGAAACTGCTGAAGGATTTACAATGGATTAAGCATATGATGCAAATTAAATTAGGCATGAAATTATATTCCTCAATGAACCAAGGCTTTAAAAAGAAATTCTAATGTTTTGATATTTGGTCTCAGTACATGTCAATACCTTCTTCAAACAACTGATGTCAGGCAGTAGAACATGAAATAAAACTGTAATGCTGTACAGAAACATTACAGTCCTCCTTCTCACATCCAACAATAAACATAAGGAATGTGAATGCCTTAGAAAACCAGGATCAGCCTGCCATCCATCAGTGGCTCCCAAAATCATGGCAACTGCAAAATCATTTCTCTCTACTAAGTAAGAGGGTAAGGCATTTTCTCTGCATTATGGTAACAATCATTCACTCTTCTCTTATTAAAGGAAAGCAGCTGAGAATGTGAGTTTGAGCTCATGTTACTGAAGTACAACTATCATGTAAATTTTATTGTTGAGACTGCCACAATCAATAAAGAAATTACTCATTATAAATAATATGCAGTGGATATTTGTTAGAGGTTGAATCCTCCAAGCACTGAATGTAATAACTTACGGAATTAAAGAGAAATCAGACAACATCTAACCCTGACTACTAAGCTTTTTTTAAGGACAGCTGAAGTATTTGTCAAACATGAGAGGAACAGAGCTTCATTTTGCTCCCTCCAGAGATACAAAGAAGAGATAGGCCTTGGGAACTGCCAAAAATTTCTGTTTAGGGAGAGCAGTGCCAAAATCAAGCTTCTGTCAGTCGGCTGGGCAAGAGGAGAATATCACTGTGAAAACACAAGAGCACATTGCTTTTAACAACCTTTTATCACGTCCAGATGGCTGGAGCATGTGAGCTTTGTCGGACAAACCTCTTCCTGTACATGAACACAGGTGTTTGTACCAGCTCCTCGGAGGGGGAATTCGATCCTTTGGTCTCCCCAAGGATCCCACACAGGGCAGAAACCCTTTGGGCAGCCTTTGTGGTTGTCCCATCGCTTCCTGCAGGTGCACCAGTCCCTCTGTGACCGTGTGACAATGACAATAAACCACCAGCTCAGTCCACAGGATCGTGTAAAGGATGTCACACCTCCACATGCCTGTGGCAGGCTGTTATATGGCAGGGATGGAGGGCAGGGAAGGTGAAGTGACCAGATGCAAACAGAAATAATCTGTTTTCTGGTATTAATGATGATATTAATCTGGTGCAAAGCAAGGTATTTCCCATTCTGCTAAATTAAATAAACTATACTGTTCTTTTAATCCCACACCCCTTGCTGTTTTTCTTATGTTATTACACAGAAAAGGATTTGCTTGTTATGATTGCTGCCATTAGATTTCACTTCAAGCTTCACTAAATTGGCATAAAGGAAACAAGTTAATCAGCCTTCCCCTTATGTCTGCAGAACATCCACTTGGTTCAGAGCCCATTTCCTACCATGCAAGCAAGAGATCCAAACATTCAGAATTCTTCACTCAGAACAAGGGAGTGTTGGAACATACCAATGTATATTCATAAGTCCTGAAGTAAATATTCCAGCAGATACAAAAGGTGCCATTCCACTGCATGAACTACCTGAAAAGACCAATCATTTTCTCCTCTTCCAATTAATTAAAGCTTAATTCAATGTTTGTCTCCTAATGGTCAGATCCTCCTAATTTGATTGCTCCTAACTCCTTGTGAGATCACTTTTTAAAAAAAGAACTTTGTTCTAAAGGAATGAAGCCTGAGGAAATACAAAATCCCCAGACCAGGACTCTCCCTAGCCTCTGAAATGCCCCGTCCTTTGTGGTGGAGCTGAGAAAGACTTGCTGCTTTCAGAATTCATGGTTTCATCTCTGCTGCTGTTACTGACATTTCCCGCCAGCCTACAGCAAGTCAGTTATTAAATATAAAGTTTATTTCTTCAAATAAATATTTGGTAATTAAGCCCAAAGGATAAATGTAAATTTACTCTGTTTTGAAATTACGTGAATTTGAGAGTCTCGTGCAACCATGCTTAGACAAGCACACGTGCAGGTATGTAACACACGTGCTGAGTGGGCTCTAGGGGTAGTTACTAAGCACAAAAAGAAATGCAAAAAGCAGTGAACTTCTCTGAGCACAAAAGCCCTCGTGTGTGGGACCCTCATTTGTTCAATGCCCTGGTTTCTGTGGTGGCCCTGAGACACCACAGCTTTGGTTTTGTGACACTCTATGGGAAAGTACAGGATTGCAAGCACACAACCGAGAGAAATGAACTGCCCTTTGATAACAAATTATTTCCACTTCCTCCAGACTGCATAACTGCTTTCCTATCAACACCATCTACACTCCTGCTCATTACCAGGCCAATGTGTTTTATTGTCTTCTTCAGACTTCATCTTCTTCTCCCATGGCTGGGGATGTCTCTTAGAACCTGACCATTGAAAATCCTCATTTTTCCACAGGATCACAGGCAGGACTACGCCATTCCAAAGGCCTTTCCTCGCTGAGCACAGAGCTCCGCTCTCCTCAGGCCACCTTCCCTGCTGTCTCCAGCCTCAGTGCCTTCTTCCATTGCCCCTTTCTCTGCCAAGCCAGCCTTTCTGACTTATTTTTGTTGGGGAGGTTTTGGGGTTTTTTCCCCCCCCGCAATCAATAGTGTCAGGGTGCAATCAGCATCCATCTCATTTTATACCGCCTTTCAGACCCAAACGCACCGAGTTTTTCCTCCAGCCGTCTTCTCCCCGCTTCGCACCGCAGGCTCTTCTCTCCCTCACTGGCACCGAGCTCCTGTCTTCCCCCATGGTTTCCTGCCCCACTTTCTGCCTTTCAGCACCAGCAAAACACGCACTGAAGCTCCGGGTGCCGGTGCCGGTCCGTCCCGCCGCAGGGGCCGTGTCTGGCGGGGTTTCTGCCCCGGCACCGGAGGCACCGAGCCCCGCGGAGCCCGGGCCGTCCCTCGTGTGAGGGTGGAGGGACAGCAGCGACAGCCGGCCCAGGGACACCACAGCCGTGTGGGGACAGGTGCACGGAGAGCCCACTGGCCCTTTGTATTTACTGCAATTTACTATTTTTTTTTCCTCAGTGGAAGCCTCTATATTATCTTCCCTGGATGTGCACCTCTTGTAAGGTGCCCCTTCCCAGGCCAGAGCAGCGCCAGGGCACACCGCAAACACTGCCGAGGGCCAGAACAAGCCGCCGCTACCCTGCCCCTGCAGAGGCCACCGCAGCGCAGCCCCGGCCCGGTGGCCGCCGCTGTCGCCGCCGCCGCCGGTGCTAGACGGGGACCGGGACAGGAGCGGAGCAAACCCGACAGATCCGCCCGCCCGAGCCGCCGCGCGACGAGCGGCCCGTCCGCGATCCACGGAATCGAGCGGCGGCGCCGAGCGGCGATTGGAGGCGCGCGGGCGGCCCCGCCCCGCCCCTCACATGACCGCTAGCGAGGTTTTTGTCGCGCCCGCTCGCCCCGGCCGCTCGCCGTGCCCCGGTGTCCCCGCCGCCGGCAGCAGCAGCGCACCGCCGCCATGGGCCCGCGCCGCTCCGCCGCGTCCTCCTGCGGCCGCGTCCTCCTGCCGCTGCTGCTGCTTGGCGTCTCTGGTGAGCGGGGCAGCGCCGGGGCCCGGGGGAGGGGAGCGGGTGTCGGGTGTCCCCGCGGGCTCGTGCCGCCCCCCGCCCCCGCCCCGTCACGCACGTGACGCCGCGCGCGGGCACCGGGGGTCCCGGGGGGGTCCCGGCCAGGCCGCTCTGCCGGCGCTCCTCGGCGCGGGGCCGCGGGCACGGCAGCGGCTGTGCCGGAGTCACCGCGTCGCGAATACAACAGCTGGGAAAAGTTCTCTGAAAGCGCAGAGGGAATTTAACGCCCGTGTATTGCGAGCTGGGAGTCGTGGAAGCGCAGCGGAGGCACGCCGATCCCATCTCCTGGGGTCGGCTTGAGTCGTAATCGCTGGTACAACACGTAAAATAATAGCCCCGGTCTGCAAGCAGCACATTGTTCAAGTGCCCTTTGGTTTACCCGCTGTGTCACCAGAAAGCCGATGCTTATTTCAGAGAGTCAGAATTCTAGGTTGGAAGAATCAACTTCCAATCAAGGATCAGCTGGTCCAGCCTTTTTTGGCAAAGACACGGTCTAGACAAAATGGCCCAGCACCCTGTACAGCCAGATCTCAAAAGTGTCCAATGCTGGGCAGTCAACACTTCGCAATTATTAGTTTGTCAGGTAGACAGACTATAAGACAGTCTCTCAATTTTTGTCAGCTTTGACAGTTTCATGGTGTGCTTCCTATTTTTGATACTTTTTAGAAGTCTAGCTATTCTTTCACTGTCTGGTAAATTGAATGTGGTCCTGACATAATTTACTGCTTTGTGATGAGCTGTCCTCTTAAGTGGTTCTAGAAAATTAAGAAAAAGCAATGTCTTAATAGCTGATAATCATGTCTTACAGGTTTTTTCCAGTCCTATGCAGTTGAAGTAGATATAAAGGATTCCTCTAATGCTACATGCCTGTATGCAGACTGGATGATGAGGTTCTTGATAACATACGAATCAAACAATGGTGATTATGTAAGTATTTGGGAGTAACTCTTGCTGAGAACTGAATTTTGATCTGGATAAAAGTCTTAAGCTCTTTTACCTAGGGTGTTTGATTTCTTACTTTTTTTTTTTACTAAGTCAGTTCAGAAGAATAGTCCTTATAAAATAAAGAATAAATTCTCAGTCATACAAATGACTGAAAGTACCCTGTTACTCTTACTTAAATGATGTACACAAAACTCACCAAGTCTAACCAGTATCAGTGTAGTTATGTTCTTAGCCCAAGCAGTAAATGTAATTGCAGCTCAACATAATCAGGGTTTACAGCCAGGTTAGAGTTGTACTTTTGTACTTGAATCTGATACAGCTCCTTTCTCAGGCAGGTGTCAAGGAGCCTTTACTATAATTTTCCAGAATAACCTAAAATAATCTCACTTGTCTTGTGCAAGGTTTCAGCTAACTCCAGCAAGTTTATAATGTTGTCATGGGGAAGAGCTGCATGTGAATGCATTTTAATTTCCCCTTTTCTTCTAGAAAACCACAACCCTGAATTTGTCATCGAGTGTGACACACAATGGAAGCGTCTGTGGCAATGACACACAGGCTGCCCTTGTGGCAGTGCAGTTTGGAGAAGGTCATTCTTGGAGCATTAACATCACAAAAAACAATGAAACTTACCAGGGAGACTTCATCACACTGACCTACAACACCAATGACACAGCTGTATTTCCTGATGCTAAAAGAAAAGGTAACATGCAGTGCAGAATCTGACTGGCAAAGCAATCTCAGCCAGAAGTGTCAGACCTCGTGTACCTGACCTGGCTTGGCTTCTTCAGAGTAAAGAGGAATACAGGAGTCAGTAATGAATGTAATGAGTTCTGTACCACGTGCTGCCAGCTGCTGTTCCTTGTACCTGCCTGCTGGGTAACAGAGCAGGCCAAATGGCTTCACTGAATGTGTAATTCCTGTAAGTGGAAGGGAAGGGGAAGGATAAACAGCTTTGATCAGTGAGGTAGACAAGCAGGCACATGGAAGATTAATTTTAGTGGGCACTGCTTGACTTTCTACCTTGCTAAGCAATACAGTGTTAGGCTGTCTGTGTACTAATGCCTACTAATAATAGAATTATTTTCCCCTTAAAAACTTGAGTAAAAGGGTTCCCCTTTCTAATGGCTTGTCTAGTTCTATAAGCTTGGTTACTCCTGCATTACCTAGCACTTCAGGTCAGGACATACAGGGAGAACATTCAAGAGAGCTTAAGATTGTTAAACTTAATTATCACTTAGTCTTTGTCTTACGAAATTACATAAAATGTAACACTACCTCTAAGTTCTTGTAGTTCATAAGGCATTAAAACATTTGTGCTTATTTGTAGGACCAGTTACTGTTCTTATGAAGGATCCTGCACGTCCAGTTCAACTGAATACTGTCTTCGTGTGTCATAATTCCTTCGTTATTGAAGCAGAAAATGTAACACAGATTTTCTGGAATGTTACTGTGCAGGCTTTTGTTCAGAATGGCACAGTCAGTAAAAAAGGTGAGCATTTCAGTTTGTGAAAGAGCTTTTTTGTGTTGCACCTTAGTGCAGGGAGCAAAGTCCCGTAATAAAAAATCCACCAATTCTAAGATGTGTTGTGTTTAATAATATCCATGTAAATATCCTCTAGTATTTCTTTCCTTGTTCCTGGAAAAATAGCTTAGGAGAACAGATTTAGTAGTGTGCTGTACTATTGATTGTTTGCGTGCCAAGGTGAGATTCTTCTCAAGTGTATATTCCAGTAATTGGGGTATTAAAAATAAGCACTTCAGAACTACTGTTGCTGAGTAAATCATTTGAGTTTGAGGGGTTTTAGCTGACTGCCTTCCAGTTCCAGTGGTGGCCTCTGCTGTTGCATTTGAGTCGCCCAGAGCTCGTTGCCTCATCTCATAGCTCAGGAAAGAGATGAGCACAGCATCCTGCTGCATGTAGCCTAATGGGCTCACTTACTTGGTTAACAGCAAATACACGTCACACTTTTAAAACAACTTACCTGTCTTTGTGTGTTTTGCTTCCATGTGTCAGAGGCAAGTGGTGCTGAGTGTGGGTTTAACACTGAGTGTTACAGGATTTCTGAGAATAAGTGGCAACTGTACTTTGAGTAATAAGACTTCAATAAAATTTCAGTAGTGAAATGGTGATTAAAATAAAATGTCTTTTCAGAGTCTAGATGTCCTGCTGATACACCTACTTCTGCACCTACTGTTCCACCTACTATTGCCAATGCAACTACTGCATCTACCACTACGTCACCTCCTGCTCCAACAGCTCCTCCCAAACCTGCGGAGAATCCAGACACAGGAAATTATTCTCTTAAAAGTGGAAATAAAACATGTTTCCTGGCAACTGTGGGGCTGCAACTGAATGTTTCCCAAGACAAGGTGCTTCTTTTTTCTTTTGAAGAGTAAAAGTTGCTGTAGTTATTTGGTGTGAAATCTGAATGCAGAGTATTGCTTTGTACACTGCTGGCTGTCCAGAACTGCTTCTAAGTATTGTATGTAGCACCTCTCTGACATCAGAATGGTTTTGTTGCATAATATGTGTCTTCAAAAACCTTGCATGGATTCAACAGAACTTTTTATTGAGACTACTTCTAACATGATTAAAAGTCTGGAACTTTCTTAGCTGTTATGGCTGTTGTTCCCTGCAGATATTGACTTTCCCCTCAGAGGGTAGCCTGTTGTTAGGGAACAAAGTAACACTTCTCAAGGAATTTATTTGTTTGTTTCAGTACTGCCAGCATGTAAATTTAACTCAAACAGCCTTGGTTCCGTAGCAGCCAAGCTGAGCTCTTCCTGCTGTCATATTTATGACCAGCTCTTCTAACCCAAGACTGTTCCTGATTGAGACAATGTATTCCAAAGGCAGCTGAATGTCTTTGATGTGCTTTGTCTGTATTTCAGCCTCTCCTGATCAACATCAATCCAAAGACAACTGTCGCAGATGGTGCCTGTGGTAACACAACAGCCACTCTGAAATTGAATGATAGAAATAGCACACTGATTGGTTTCACATTTGCTGTTGTAAGTAACTTCTTTTATTTTAAACTAATTTATCATTTAACAGCATGCATGGTGATCACTTACAGTAAAATCCTCCTGTTGCTTGCTGGTGGTAGGCTGTTCCCGTATGGGAAGTGGAACTGGCCAGCTGAGTGCCTCATGACAAATGGAGAACTGGGTTAAAGTTGTAGAAAATGTAAGACTGGTAAATGTGTTGGCTTTTGTAAAGCATGTGTTCTTAAAGTTACAAATGCAGAATTGCACACTGACACTTGATTCTTGCTTCTTGAACAGAAAAATACAAGTGCAAGTGTACAAAAATTTTATCTGAGGGAGGTGAATGTTACTCTGCTCAACCGTCTGAATGGTTCTGGTAAGAAGCAGTATCTGCCTTAAGCAAGGCTAATATTTTATTCAATGTCTGCATCAAATAATTCTGGCTTTTTTTTCAGCGTTGTTCATGGTTACTGTTAGCTCCTACTCTATGTCTAGCAGTTGGTATGAACAAAAATAACAAGCAGAAATGGCTGTAAGAGTTACTTTAAACAGCAGTGTGAGACCCCTCTACAATTCCTGAAACTTCTGCTAATGGAGTCACTGTAAATTAAGAGGGCTTCTTTATGACTCTTTTCAGTAATGTAATTTTTTGTGGCATGAAATCTAATTGTGCCAACTTTGAAGCTTTTTCTCCTAAAGCAGCTTTTGTCATCTTTGTTTGAAGATGCTGCTGTATTTTCCAACCACTTGTACTTAACTCTCACTAAAAAAAGGCCAGTCCTTCAGAAACTGAAGTGTACTTTTTTCCCAACAAACATATGTTTTCTCTTTTTAAATTGCTTGTCATAGCTACAGCAACTAAAGAGCATTAAAGCTAAAACACTTGTAACTCTGCAGCACTGAGACAAGCAGAGGTATAAGGAAAGCCTGATGTCATGTACCTATGAAAGAGAGGTTACTGCAAAGCACTGTAATAACTTCAGTTTCTGATTTCTGGTTAAGCTGATCAATCCCATTTTGCACTACTTTGTTTTTCAGACTAGTCAGTGTTGAAGTGTTGGCCCCTCTAGACTCAGCTACTCAGTCTTACTGTATTAGCAACTGTCTTAAATTTGAAGTGAACATGCAAATTTCCTTTCTTTATTTTTCCCTTCTTTGTTTAGTCATTTCAAGTGCAGATAACAACAACTTAAGCAAGTGGGATGCTTTCCTTGGTAGCTCTTACATGTGCCGAAAAGAGCAAACCCTTCAGATTAATGAAAATGTTCAAGTACATACTTTTAATCTATGGATTCAGCCATTCCTTGTGGAGGCAAATAAGTTTGCTACAGGTAAGAGTTATGTTTTTGTTTTTACTGATGCTTCCAAAATTCTCACTTGCTAAAAAGCACCAGTATTAGGTACAACCGCTTTATCTCAGAAGCTCTTGTTCCAAATTTTTTAAATATGTTTAGATATACCTGGAATGAAGAGAAGTTCTGAGAGTGACATTTGAGTTCAAGCAAAGCTTTGTTCTCATTTAAAAAATGTCTGCTAAGTGTGTGGTTCTTCTTCACAAAACTTGAATGAACTAGAGACACTGAAGGGGGACTTAAGCATTGCTGTGCAGAATAGGTTAAATTTACTTGACAACATCTTGACTTACAGCTTTTGTAGCTCAGATATGTAAGAAAATTGGACAGAACCTTTGCAGAAATGGACTTTGGGAGTACTGTTAGGTGTTTTGTTTCTTTTTACCTGTCAGTCTGAGGAATAGGAGTGTTGGGGAAGAATGAACTGTCAGAGCTTCCTTCAGAGGCAGTCTTGAGTATCCAGAACAAAAGAGATTCTGAAATGTTTGTTTGCTGCATTGTCTTGATCTTGTCTGGAGAAAACTGAAAGGTCTTAAATTACCTCTTAATATTTAGTGCAAACTGGTCTTTGTGCTTAATGCTGATACTTGCAGCACAGTCTTATTGGACTAGACTGTTCTGTAGACACACAGATTGAAAAGTTCTGTTTTTAGACAGAAGATAACTCCAGATGTGTGTAGGATAAACAGTTTAGTCTTTCTAAAGAGTTAGGGACTCATTTCACTGTGTAGTTAAAGTTGCAAGTAGCTTTCTTCTAATTACAGTTATTTTATCTGTATAACTTGTATTTGTTCTGAATAGATTCTTGATACCAAATCTAGGTCACTTTTTATCCTTAGTGAGTGAAAGTGCCAACCAGACTTGCCTTAAGTATGAAATAGATAAGCCTGGTTTGTGAGTGTAGAAGAATGGCTGCTCCCTTGCCTAGTGCAGATCTTGTGCACAGGAAAACTTGTACACCCTTAAGGTGCTATATGTTGTCAATTCTTAAATTAATTAAAATGCTTAAATATGCTAAATGTATTGATGAGACCTCTGCAGTCCTTTCTGTCTTAGTTTAAATAATACTTGTTTTTTTTAACACCTTCGTATTAAGGAAAACAGATTTTTATACCACACTTGGCAAGTATTTTGTCTTTATTTATTCCTTATTGCAACCTTTTTCTCACCTACAGCCCAGGAGTGTTCGCTGGATGATGACAGCATTCTAATCCCAATTGTAGTTGGTGCTGCACTTGCTGTCTTGATTGCCATTATAGTGGTTGCTTACATAATTGGCAGAAGAAAAAGCTATGCTGGATATCAAACTTTGTGAATCTAAGTGTGATTCCTGTTATGATTTCACTCTAAACAAAGCAAGTGCAAGTTCTGAAGTCCAAAAAAGACCCAAAACTTAGGCGCAATTACTAGCCACAGCTAATTGGAATTGAGAAACCAAGGGAGAATGTTTATCTCAGATGAAGCAGAATTACACTTTGTTTTCCTGCCCTAAGAAGATGATGTGGGTTTCATAGCTGTTTCGAAGATGTCAAATCCTTGAAGAATTGCTAGGCTGAGAGGATTTTATCTTGCAAAAGTCCTAAAGCGTTTAGGATTTATATCTGCTTTTTACAAATACTAGCCTGAAACAATAACACGTTCTGAACTGATGTGCATTGGGCATCTCCCAGAATAGCATAGAATTTGTACTTGCTTCTCTCCTCTGCGTTCCTTAGTTGTTGTTGTAATTGTGGGTTAAGCTGGCAGCATTAGTCACTCTGTTGACTTGTATAGTATTTAACAAGGATTGTCTAATGCCCAATAGCAACTTCGTTTTCCATAGGATTGAACTTCAGGCTGGTGATAAGTGATCTCTGGAAGTGGCAGCAGTAACTTACTTGCCTTTGTTAGGATTTGAGTAATTTACTCCAGCCTTGATGTAATTTCAGGAATCATTCCTATACCATGGCTGTATGAACAAAATGGGTAATTTGCCAAATGGTGAATATATTGGAAGACTTCAGTGCTGCTTAAAGATGCTTTCAAAAAAAAAAAACCTGTTGGGCACTGAATTCTTTATTATACCATGGCAGTCATCTAAAATACTCACCTAAGGCAGACTTCTGCTAAATTAATGCAAGCTTTTTTTTTTTTTTTCTGGCATCAGTTTAAAGGGAATAACCTCTCTAAATATTCCAGAACTTTAAAGTGCACTTAACTTCATACCATACTCTGCACAGAACTGGTCTGTCTTGTTGCTTTGAATGACCTTGTTTAAAGATGCTTTCATTTAATGAGCCAGTATCTGTTGTTGCAGCTTGAGCTGTTTTTAAATCTTCACCTTGAATGGTTCTCTGCCAGTCAAAGTTCACATTGTAACTGCCCGCCATTGGCACTCTGAATGTTGAACGTTTGTGTTGGGTTGTTTGCAGTGTAGCATTTATTAATGTTTAGAATGCAAAAGCCAAACAAGTCTGAGATGGGACCCACAACACCTGTTTTTCCTTGCTGTATGAAAAGAATAGGTTAAAAAAGTGCAGTGCAACTGGACTGTTCTTTAACTGCAGCTCTGTAGAGACTAACCTTTGATGCACAATTTTTCTCTGGGCTCCTTGTGCATATTCTTACTGCATGGAAAAAAAAAAAGGTCTTTTAGACTTTTAGATAATTGTGGCTTTTTTGCATATATCATAACATGAGCTGCCTAAGCTGGTTATTTAATGAACATAACATTGTCTCCCCATTTAGAATGAGTTTAGCCTCCATCAAAGCTGCTCTAGTGTTTTATTAGTGTTCTCTAGGGTTGTAGAGATGTCTGTGGCATGTTTGTATACAAATCATAAAATACACTTCTTTCAGTAATGGTTTGGTTTGGTTTTTTTTGGTTTTTTTTTTGTAAAGACAGTTTACTCTTGACACTAGCCAAGGAAGCATGTATGGGTGGATAATGCTTACTATAGCTTGTAGTCTACAGCTTGAATTTTGCATCAGTTACTGAAATGCATTTTAATGAAAGTGGGGAACTGCTATAAGTTTAATCATGAAACAAGCTTCAAGACTTACCATTTTAATTTTTAAAAATGGATTTAATGACTTTCATATTAATATATCCTCAAATGCAGAAGTTCATATAGATTTTTTAGCTTTTTTTTTTTTTGTGAGTGATGTTCAGTGGCACCAGTTAAACATGCATCTCTGTTAAGGAGTAATCATCACACTCTTCTTCTGACCTTGCAAATTTTTGAACTGTACACAGTTTCTAAGTGATAAAATAGAAGATTTGTGCAAACTGCTTCCTGAAGTCAACACTAGAAATACTATTGCAAAAACCTGTAAGTATATTGGCTCAGAGTTTTAAGTACTCCTAGACTGATGTGCAGATAACTGGTTCAAAAAACATCAGTTTCACCTGACTTCCTGTTGTTATAAAACCACTAGTTTTCCTGTATGTATTGCTCCATAGGGAACTGTCAATCTGTTTAACCTGTGCTCTAAAAAATAAAGATTGTTCTATTTCTTAAGGAAACTTGTTCACATTTTTTAACTGATTTGAAAACAGACGTCTTGTATTGTCTTTTTTTAAAGAAAATAAACTCAGTGAGTAAGGTGAACTAATCAGTCTGTATCTGAGATTCTGTTACATAGCTGGTTTTGTTCTGGTCTGTGGAAACAGCAGTTAAATTGTGAATTTATTTAACACCTGTGGATGTGGAATATTAATGTGCATAACCTGTTATCGAGTGTGGTTGGTTTAGTACCTTATACACAATTTACTGAATATTGTATTCTAATATCAAGGTTTCTGATATTTTCTGTTAAAGCTGTCACGCTGATAGTCCTCAAAAGAAGCATTTCTAGCCAGTGAATGATGGGATTTGGGTTTTGGAAGGGGCATTTTGTTTGTTCATTTGTTCCTTGTTTTGGTTTTTTGTTTGGCTGGTTTTTAATTTTTTTTTTCTTATTTACCACAGTGTTCTCTCTTCCTTAGCATATGTTAATAAAACACGAACTTTGGGGCTGTTGATTGAATCTTATGATTGGAATTAAAAGGGAAGGCACCTTTTATACTGGGGCTAAAAAAATTTGGGGCCAAAAATTTCTGACTTTTTTGAATGGAGACACATTCAGCCACGTCAGTTGAAAAAGCTGTTCCTGCTGGCCCTGCTGTGTGTTGGGCTGTAATTACCAATTCTGCACTTGAAGGCACTTCTGAAGCTTCTAACCACTGTACAGTAGCCACACCTGGATAGATGTGTGCCAGCAAGGATGGAATGTTCCTGGTATGAAACCTTAACCCCTTTTTCACGCCTGTAACGGTGCCACAGTGTGGTGTGTGCTGCAGCCAGCTCCTTCCTTTGAAGAAGAGAGGGAATTTCTGTCACTGCCTGCTCGGCACCTTCATCCTTAGCAAATCCTTTCATATTTAGTGTTAGCATTTAGTGACCCATTACCCAGCATCTAGCAAATTGTCTTTGTTAGTATTTAGTGAGCAAGATGACTAAATATCAAATGTATGTCTCTCTAAGATGTTTAAATATTTTCTCAGTCAGAATATTTTGAAATAGCTGTGTAAGGTGCAAAGTTCCTTACCTCTTGGCTTTTTTTTTTTCCCTTCCAAGTGGTGCTCTACTTGGCAGTAGGTGCCTTCAGATAATCTGAGTTCAGTATTTTCGGCTGTTGAGCCTCCACGTGTTGTTCTCCTTGCTCTGAGTCAAAGGCTTTGTATATTTCAGGGAGGGGCCATGGCAAGAGTGTGCTGGACTGTCATAAGCTAAAGCAAGACAATACATTTCCCATCATTAATGCTGATTCGGTGAAAAACAGCAGCCAACTTTTGAGGAAGTGTTGACTCTGTGTGTGATGCTCTGTCCTAATTAAAAACTCAAACAAAATCGTTTTACCAGGGGTGCTGCTTTACAAAACGCATCTGAGCTGGGCACGGTTCCGGTGCTGGAGAGCCCAGGCACGGCCTCCAGCCTCCCCGCTCCTCTCCTGGCACAGGCAGGTGGGGCTCTGCTCCCCTTGAAGCTGCTTGCCATGCCATGCCCTGCCCCCGAGTTTGAAACCGGTTCCCAGCGTGGTTTGCTAATCGTTGATGAGTGGTTTTACCAGCAAGGAGCTCCTCACGTTTTACAGGCTGTATGTTAAAAACCGCTGGAGTGTTTGAGATGTCTCTTCTGTTTTCCCCTCTGATGTGGATTTTAGCGAGGTCTGTGTAGTTCTCAGCTGAAACTAATAACCCTTTTTAATGGAAAATAAAGTTACCCACCCCAACAGAGTCTTAGTGTTTTCCATGCCATGCCTGGAGGCACATTGATCTTGGCTGTCTCTTGCAGTTCTTAGTAAGTTTCTGCTTGGTTACTTGGGCTGTCCCTTATGCCTTCACACCCAGAGGAGTGCTGGTGACTCGAGGGTTGGGAAGACCCCTGGACAAGGCAGTGCTACCCCAGTGTGGGGTTTTTGTTGCTTTATTGCTGCTAACTGAGGTGTGATCAGCTAATGCATGCTCAGACTGCTGGTTTGTCCTCACATTTCTAATCTCTGCTTGCTAGAGGGAGCTAAAATTAAATGTACAACTTAAATGTACAAATCAGAAGAAGTATATTACCAATATAAAGGATGTGTGGAGTAGATGTGTTTAAAGAAATCAATCTTTCCATCAATTCTTTACTCAATGCTGATTTTACTTTACATGTATTATTGTTTCTAATACAATGTAATTTCTCAAAAATGCCTATTTGCTCCTTGCTTTCTTGGGTTTCTAATGCTTGATTTCCCTTACTAATTAATTCTCCCTTGCTTTTTTTTTTTTGTTTTTCCTCTTTCTGCAGCTGAAGAATGCATTGCTGATTCTGACCTGAACTTTCTTATTCCCATCGCAGTGGGCGTGGCACTTGGATTCCTTATCATTCTTGTCTTTATATCTTACATCATTGGAAGAAGAAAAAGTCGTACTGGCTATCAGTCTGTATAATCTCTTAATTCCATCTCTGTTGCCCACCTTCCCTGTTCTTTTCCCTTTCCCAGACTTCCTGGCCTGCTCCTTAAAAAAACAAAAACAAAAAAACAAAACAAAGAACAAAAAAAGATAAACAAATTAATTCAAGGTTTCTTTATTTAAAAAGTTCAAATCACTTCATGGCAGAATAACAATCACTTCATGACAGAATAATGTGCCGTGAGTCTGAAGATGAGTTGCAGAAGATACTGTATGACTTTGGAGAAAGTAAGTGTTCTGAGGACCAGAGAATTGAGCAGAGTTGGTGTGTCCCTGTGGGAAATGTGATTATTTTTAGTAAAGAAGACATCTACAAAACTTTGTCATTTAATCTTTTTGTACAAGAAAATTTCTAGATGCCTACAGCTTGTCTTGGTTAATGCTACAGCTAAAACTATAATTAAAAGTGTGAATGCTGTGTCAAAAGGGACTGTACATACAGTGGGAAAATGAATACCCAGCTCTCAACAGACTTCTGTTGGGAGCTTGGCATATGGCTGTTCTTGTGAATCAGCCTGAATTTCCTATTCCTTCTGAATGTAAAAGAAGTACCTGATCTCATTAATACCCTGACATAATAGGAGAAGAACATCTGATTCTTCTAGTGAATTAATTTGTTTAATATCGTGTGGAGAAGCTGATTGCTAATGTAGGTTGAATGGCTTTGCACTACCCTGGTGTCTAATTTGCCAAGATAAGGTTCAGGTCTGGAGAACTTCAGCTACTCAGAAAAGGCAACAGTCTGCTGAAGGAAATGTCTCCTGTGCTATTTTGTTGAACTGCATTTTCCTTTTGTTCTGAGCTCAATTGTGAAATGAGGGTGGGAGGCTGGAATTTCACTGGCTGCAGTTTCTCTGAGCTTTGATTCTGAACATAAAAGAAACTACACAGCGTTGGTCCATGTGAGGACCAAAAGTATTTTGAGAGCACTCAGACTGGCTGAGAACACAGATTGCTGAGAGATTCCTGCAGTTCCTTTGGACAGCTTGCATAGGTTAACAGGGCATCACTGAAAAGCTGTGATCTCTGAAAGCAAGTGGAGATATAAAACCTTTCAGGTTTGATAGAATTAATCTGCTTTTAATCTCCTCATTATCACTGTCTGAGTAAGAGTAAGAGCACAAAATTTCTAGCATGAGGAATGCTGATCATAAAGCATAAATGAATATATGTATAGTGAAGAAAGTGACTTGCAAAGGAATAAGAGCATCTTACCTGTTTGAAGATGCTTTCTTTGTTATTAGTGCCATACCTTTACAATTCTATGTTCCATATCTAAACTGTATCAAAATCAAATTTAATCGTTGGTGGTTGTGTTCCACTTCATTCCCATTAGGTTCATGTTGATGGAATGAAAGAAGCCTCTTGCTCTTCAAAACTTTTTGGTCCATCTTGGCAAAAGCCTTTTGCAGTTAGTAAGTCCTGAGGGCACACTAAGTTTTGCCCTCTGCACAAATGTTTACTAAAGCTGCTTCAATATTTAATCTCTGGGCATTGACCCTGTATCCATGTTGTGGGGGAAGCACCTTCAGTAATTCACATACACAAAGGTGACAGTCAACACTGATGTTTAAGTAACTCACAATGGCTGTGTATTCAGGGAAGGGAGTTTTCCAAAGACTTCGTTGTGATGGTTGAGAAATACCTGTACATTCAATTATTCTTGTCCTCACAGTGACCAAAGATACACTCTACCTGATTCTGACAAAAATGATTCCGTAATACAAATGGGCTCTTGGAGCAAGTTGTCCTTTTTTTTTAGGAATGTAATTCAATGCTGCTGAGTGGGACTGTGTGCTTTAGGTTTGGTTGTCTTGGTCTCTTGTATTGTACCTTTGCTCTTGCAATACTTGATTTCCCTGCCAGTGTTAAATGGAATTATTTCAGGTGGCATTTTATGAGTACACACACTTGTCAGTGTGGTGCTTCTCTGCAGCCAGCAGATGAATCACAGCTATGTTGTCATGCTGAGATTGCAGACTGAAGTATTTAATGTCAATTTTTTCTAGGCTATCTTAGTGAAATGTGGTCATTTCCTAGATGCAAACACATACATATATATATATATATATTGTATATACATAGAAAGTATTATTTTGAGCTTCAACTGAAGTCAAAAATTGATCCAGCACTTTAAGGTTGTTACAGCATGAAGAGTGGTGTGTACAATTTTCCAGATCTTAAAATGACTGTACAAATATGCTGACAGCAGAATATGTGTATGGAAAATAAAGTTAATTATCGTGTTTATAAAGCTTTGTTTCAGTGTAAGTAGACATGAATACCATTTCTGAGAGCCTTTCCAGAGGGATTGTCAGTGTGCTTGGATCTGGATGTTTGTGGGGAAACAGAAGCTTTTGCTTCTAAGTATTCACACATTTACATCCAAATCAGTTGTTTTTTGTGTTGATTTGGTCAAAGCATGGGTCCAGCATCTGCTAAAGGACATCTTCTTCCATCAGAATCCTTCTAACAGACAGATAGGGAATAGAGATTAAATAAAGTTTTATCTTGTTGCTAGTGTGAAGGCTGTTAATTTGATAGCATGAGACACAATGAGTTTGGTTTCCTTTCAAGACCCCACAAATACAAATGCTTTAAAAGAGCTAAAGCAATTGGCAGACAGAGAAATGCTTGTGGGTTTAACTTATTTCTGATGTCAAAAGAAGAGCCACTCCCCCAGCAGCATCCTCCTTGGCAGAAGCCAGTTTCTGTTGGTCAGAAGATGCCCTTGCAGATAATTTGTGCAGGCAGAGTGAATATGTTGCCCTGGTTCTATCAGTGCTATCTGGATAATGAAAACTGAGCAGAATTAGTTCCTAAACTGCCTCTGGTTCAGGTATTTAATAGCTCTTAATAAATCCTTTTTGCCAGATGGTTGGTTGTGATGCTTGGAGAAGAGTGAGTCGTATTGTACTGAACTCTGGCCTGGGGAAGTTTATCAGGTGCTCAGAATTCCATGATGTTGTTACATGCTGCTTGGAAATTCAGTCCCTAATTGGCAGCACAAACTGCATCTCTTAACACCAGTGTTTCAAGAATGCCACCACAGAGTTAATTTTACTGTAGTCACTTTATTTTAAATAGAAAAAATCACTTCTTAGAGACTGATATAGATCAGGAAATGACGGCAGATGAAGTTCCTTGGCTATGGATGTAGGACAAACATTCCATAATGCCCCTGTTCAGGCAGTAATTTTAGTAAGTGTGCTTTCCCAGTAGTGCTTTATCCCAAGGTGTCCTGTCCTGCTGTGTTTTGTAGCTCCCAGCAAGCAGAGTGCAGCCGGTCTCTGTCACATCCGAGGGAGGCTCGGGCTGCTCAGGGCAGCGCACTCTGTGTTTCATCAGCCTTTGGGGGTGACAAACTGATGCCCTCACTCACCCCAACACTGTGCCCTAAACTGTGAGAGGACTGAGCATTTTTCTGCATTTTGCTGCAGCATTACAGCTGTGACCTCTCTGGAATGGGGAAGAACAGGTCTGAGAGCTTTGGGCACTTCTGTGCCTGAGCAGGAGGCCCTGCCAACCTGTGAACCGTGACAAGAGAGAAGAGCTCCTCTCACTCATCCTGTCCAAGAGACTGGGTGAGGATTCCTGGGGCAGAGAGGAGTACTGGAGTGAGGACGAGGGAGGGAGAAATGCATTCATCTTCCCACTTTAGAAAGGAAGAGCTGGAAAGGTTCAAGGGCAAACGATTTTCTGTGGCCCTTGCTCAACACCTTGGGTGTGATCAAGCTGTGTAAAATGCTGCAGTCAAGATGCTTCTGGGCCTAGAAAGCATTTTGAGAGCTGCCATTTTCACTTTTCCACTCTGTTATTGCAGGAATAATCCAGAATTTTTGCTGTTTATTATTTTAACAAGAATAGTGCTAATAAACTACCTCCTTTTTAGCTTTTGCCTGAGAAATGCATATAAAACTATTCTAAAAAATAAAATTTAAAGCCAGGAAATATGCATTCCACAGGGATCACTCATAAAAGACCTTATGAAAATAGCATTTGGATACCAGAGGTTTTTTTCAATCAAAAATGAAATTTTCTGCACATTCTCTTCCCAGAGGAAAACTTCTAATTTTTGCTGATAATGATTTACATCAGAAGATGAAAAATGTGGATCCACGCTTTTCATTGGTTTCCTAACTATGAACAAAAATAAATTAACAATAATCTCCGTGTGCCTGTTTTTCCTAGCAGAAAAAAATGCTGGCTTGATGCTTTAAAAAGGAAAAAGCCTCTGATTGACTTAACCTAAGTGCCTGGTGTTGGCAGGGGCTACTTCCCAATGCTGAGTGTGAAGATGATTCGGCCCAGGAAGCGGTCGCTGTTCAGGTCGTTGATAATTCCTTTCCCATTCAGACTGCACTGGATGGGGACCAAGTGATCCTTCTGCACGTCTGTAAAGTGCATAGCCACCAGAGGGGAGGTGTAGTTGACCTGGAAAGAAAGGAGGTTTAAGTGTAATTTTTGAAGGAGCAGAAAAGCAAGCAGGGCTTTTATGTTCGGTGAAATAATTTGTAAATGGTTCATGGTTCCAGGCATCTGAGAGTGCCTGCCTGATGTCCACCAGGGTCCCTCAGCATGCTGAGCCTTTTCTGTGTGCCTGAGCACGATGGATCACTGTACATTGCCTCTTGGGGTCATTGCCCAGGACAGCACCAGACCATGGGACTCACAAATGCTTTCTGCTGTCCTGAAAACCACACACACTCACATACAGTCACACACACAGAATTACACACACAGTTACACACTCACACACTGTTACACACACAGTTTGTCAGACACAGAAATAGAGCTCTGCAATCCCAGTGCCCATGGCCTCTGTCCTGCCCTCATCTGCCCAAAATAGCCTGACAGCACATCTGGACCCTGTGCAGCCGCTCCTGCCCTCCCATTCCCAAGGAAGCATAGCAGAGATGCCAGACCCTCACTCACGTGGGTGAACTTGCCATAGTAGGGATAATACATGAGGTCAAATGTCCCGTTCCCAGGGTAGAAATCCACCGACCTGAGGTGACTCTCATTGCCTTTCTGTGATCAGAAAATAAACAGAGGCACACACATACACAGAGATAGGACATGGCACACAAAATACAGCTCCCCTCAGAGCTTGTCTCAGAGCAGATGTCCCTTGCCAGCCCCTGGCAGTCCCTGCCCTGCTTCCAGCCAGGGGAGAGTGGAGCTGTGCAGGCATGGGCAGGGCTGCACTTTGCTGCCTGCTGATTCCCTGCTGTGCCTTTGCTCCCTGAGGGTGGGATCCAGCAGCTGCCTGGGCAGGGGGAGCCCTTCCTTCACCCCATTGCTGGTGGCTTGCAGGGTGCCCCCAGGACTGAGCATGCTGCAGAGCAGCTGGGGATGGATGTGAGGAGTCCCTACACCTCCCCACTGAGCTGCAGGCTCCAGCTGGCACACCGGCCCGCAGGCTGCCCTGGGGGCTGAGCGCCCGTGAGGCTGCAGGAGCAGAGTGGGAAGCAGGAGACTGCTGACCTCTGCCACTCAGCAGACTGGCCTCCTCCAGACCCACAGGCTGCCCCACGGGCTGAGCGCAGAGCTGTCCGTGAGGCTGCAGGAGCAGAGTGGGAAGCAGGAGACTGCTGACCTCTGCCACTCAGCAGACTGGCCTCCAGTTGTGCCCAGACACATGGGCAGCACTGGGTCCTGTGAGTGTTTGGGGCTGATATGAGGACAATTGTGCTGAGGTCCATCAGGAGGAGACGTTTGGCCCTGTCCCCACCGTGCTGCAGGGCAGGGAGGAAAGCAGTACCTGCACTTTGCAGTCCACGCTCACGGGGACCCCGGCACCAGGGCGGTAGCCTATGATCTGCAACAGCAAAAAACATCCATGCTTGTATGAAATGCAGGGCCAAGCACGTGCTGCCTCCCTTCTCCAGAGCTTAAACCTGTCTGGGTGCCAGCCACGTTGCTCAGGACCGGAGCTGTGTGTCCCTGCAGCCGGGTCTGCCGCCCCACACCGTGCAAGCTGCCCATGGCTGAGGGCCAGATGGCTGCCTGAGGGCAGGGGCAGAGCAGAGAACACAGAGAGGGCCCAGACCCCTGGAGTAACACAGCCTCTCCCCACACAGTTCACATTCCCCCCATGCTTATTTTCCCAGCAGTGAGCACTGAACCACCATGCTATTAGACTTCAACTAAATTAAATTCCAAGAAAACTCCCATTGTAAAGCATCTGGGCTGTGGGGTTTTCCCCTAAAGCTCAGTTCCTCATGAGGAAGGGCCTGGCAGAAGGCCCTCCGAGCACTAAGGCCTCAGCAAATCAAATGGAGCAAGTTTTATAATGAGTTTATTTAATGTTTTCTAGCAAATATGGCCTGCAGGTTTGGGGATTCTAGTTCCCTTTTTCCCTGGGCCTGAGAAGTGAAGGAGTTTCAGTCCCTGTGTGGCTTTCATCACACTGGGATGCCCCAAAGGAAGGAGTTAAAGCAAGCAGCTGTCTCTGTACCCGGTTCATCTTCAGCAGGATGCAGGGCTGGCCTCTGGAGTAGCCAAACGTTGGGTCCTCGATGCCAGAGCAGTTCTGCAGCAGCGAGCGCTTGAACTGGCAGGCCTTCTTCTCCTCACTGTCATTTCCCCCCTGGATGAAGTACTGGCCTGGGACACACTCGATATTCTTCTCCTCCTGAACTTTGTCATCATAAGCTGGTGGGGACCAAGGGACTTGTTAAACCCTCCCAGACCTGCACAGACCCAAACTCTCAGAGAACAGCCACTTGTCAAGGGCATTAGGAAGTCACACCTGGAAAGGCAAAGCCCCCATGACCTTGTGAGCCTCCCTTTCCAGATGTGGCTCATGAGGTGCCCAGGAGGACACCCCTGCACTGCATGCATGTATCCATGGATAAAAACAACCTCAGCATGGCTCCCAGGGTGACAAAGAGCTCACCTGCTAGGAAGTGGTGCATGCTGTCCACGTAGGGCTGCCACGTGTTGGGCTGGGAGACATTGAAGGCAATGGTGAAGCCATTCAAGTATGGTCTGATCATCACTCCTGAAGAAGGAGACAGCCCTGGTAAGGCAGATGTAGGTGGAGCAGCCATGGGCTGCGTGCTGCAGGGCTGGTGCATTGTGACTGGGCTCAGGTGTGAGAGAGGCAGCACCAGCTCACAGATCAGCTCTCTCCTCAACCTGCTGATCCCTCGCCTTCATTTCACCCCCAGAGAACACCATACACATCAAAATATCCCAGGAAACCTGGGAGATATGGAAAGCCTCAGTAGTGTTGTGGGTTAGTGACTGGGGCTGCACAGAGTGGCTGCAGGTCCCCCGTGTTCCCAGCTGTGTGGGCAGCTCCAGACAAGGAGCAGGCCCTTCTGTTCCCCACCAACACAAAAACACAGGAAAAATGCTGTGTCTGACACAGGGAAAGGATTTTCTGAACATTCTCTTGCCAGAACTCCCCCAAATAATAATGCATAAAAGCAACTCTTGATTTGCATTTTATTTTGAAGGCATGAGGTGTAAAGGGCCAGCAGCTGAAATGCATCAGCATCACCTATGAAATACCTAAACTTGGCTTTTGCCTTGAGAATAATGATAACAATAAACAGCGCAATGAGAATAACAATGAGTACCAACAGGGTGAATGCTTCTCATGAGGCTTTTTAAATGTTTGCTCCTCTGCAGAGAACCTGCAGCTCTGCCAGTGCCCTGAGGTGAGAACACCCTGTGTTAGGGAGGGCTGGGTGGCTGTAGGAGTGCACAGCTCCAGCAGGGCTCTGCCTGAGGTGCTAGCCATGCTATTTTGGTAGGACAGTGATGGGCAGAGGTGGCCAAGGCCAGGCTGGCTGGGTACTCACCTGGTGGAGACACACGGTCCCGGAACCTGGGCGTGTAGGGGCTGAGCGTGAGCAGCATCACATACAGGCAAAAGGCAAACATTCCCGCCAGGCACGTGTAGAAAACGAAGTAAAACAGTAAGATCAAGCCTGCAAAACAGACAGGCATGTCGCTGTCAAGGCAAGCAGAGCACATCCCGTGGGATGTGTCCCACAGGGATGCACAGACGTGCTCAGCACGGCGTCCTCTGCAGCTCTGAGGCCGTGCTGGAGGTGGGAGCTTGCAGCCCAGCCCTGCACACAGACTGGTGTTTGTGGCTGCAGGACTGCCAGCTGCTCCAGTGCTGGGGTAGCTGCTCTTTGGTTCTGTATCCCTTTTGCTGCACGGCCCTTCCCAGAGCTGTGTCAGGAGCAGGTCTGTGTGTCCACCTGCCTCAGCTCTCTCAGAGGGACCCAACATTCCCTCCTGCCCTTCCCACTCCCTCCTGGCATGAAAACATGCAAAGGTGTCCAGTGGCTTCAGCCAAACCCCTGATGGGGCTGTGGGGCGGTGCTCCTGCCCTGATTCCTGTCCCCTGCCCGGGAGGGACCCTGGTGCTGGGACTGAGCAGGCAGCATCGCTCAGGGCTGCAGCACCACTGACTGTTTCATGGCCCAGACATTCAGGGAATGGGTTTGTTTTTCCTCTGGACCAGGCTGATGGCTGAGGGTGTCTCAAGAGGCCCCAGCCTATGAATAAAACCCAGCAACTCAGAAAGCAAAGCGGAGCCCTAACCCAAATATTTCCCAGGAGAAACGTTCCGGCGGCTCGGAAGGAGCCCTGGGAACACAGATGTGCTCTCCTGCCGTGCTTCTGCCAGGGCCACCGTGCTGGGAACTGCTGCGTCCTGCTGAGGGCTGGGCTGGGGCAGATGGACCATCACTGTGCTGCTGGCACAGAAGGGACAGTGTCCAGCCCTGCCAGAGTGGTGCTGGATGGTGCCTCTGCCCCAGCCTGGCAGCAGAGCTGGTGCTTGTTGAGACATCTTCCCACTGCTGCTCCCTTTTTGATGTTTCCTGCAGTGCAGCAGGGAGTGTTGTCACCAGCAGAGAGGGGGTGCAGCCTTTCCCAGGGGCTGGGGCCTCCAGTGATGACTTTGTGCCAGTTGCCTCCCCGCATTTGGTGAGTGCAAGTCCCCTGAGGCCCCCATTTCAGGGGACACCTTTAGAGCCAGCGCAGGGGAGCAGCCCCAGGCTGGGCAAATTCCCTCCTCCGCACCCATGAGCTGAGAGTAGGAAAGTTCAGCTCCACTCACCTCCAAATGCTCTCACTTTAAATAAATTTTGATTTTCATAGTAGCTTCTCCTGCCCCCATGTAGAGACAAGTGAGCACACGTG